TGTTGAGATCCCCACCCCAAAACTATATATACAAATGCTGGGCATAAAAAGACGAATGCAGTCATGATATCAGAATAGACCCTGGGGTCTGACCGAACCCCTAGGGACCTAGTTTGTTAGTCACAGCTTGGAAACAGTTGAGAGCCCCACCCTATAACGGTATATACAATTGCTGAGTATAAAGAGATGATTGCACATATGCTTCCATGATGGCCTTGGGGACTGCCCCACCCTTGCAGACTTAACCCCTGGGTCATAACTTCGATATGGTTTAGATCCCCACCCCAAAACTATATATACAAATGCTTGGCAAAAAGAGACAAATGCAGTCACGATATTAGAATTGATCCTGGGGTCTGGCCACAACCCTAGGGACCTAGTTTCTGAGTCAAAGCTTGGAAACAGTTGAGATCCCCACCCCGTAACCATACATAAAATTGCTGGGCATGAAGAATCTAATACAGATATGCTACAAGGATTGGTCTTGGGGTCTGGCATATTCCCTTGATCTCATTCGGAGAATATTTTGCCATCATTGCTTTGGTATCCAGGTGAGCGATACAGGCTCTCTGGGCCTCTTGTTCATTGAACTACTTCAAGAATTGTAGGACCTATGGCCATGATAGTTGGCCAGTAGGTACCTAGCATTGAATGCTATAAAGTCAACTATATTGGTTTTAACATATTTGAACCCTGTGACCTTCAACATATGTCAAGGTCATCTAGTTGAGGAAATTTCATAGCACTACATCCTAGGTAACTACTGGCCAAATATCACCACCATGAGCCTCTTGGTTATTAAGAAGAATTTGATATATTTAACCATTGAGGCCTTGAAAGTAGGTCAAGGTCATTTATTGAAAGAAACTTTATTGCACTCATTCTCAGGTACCTACTTGGAAAATATCATTGCTGTAGGTCACTTGGTTATTCAGAAGAAGTTGTTTATATGATTTTAATAATAATAATAATTTGAGGTTTTTATATACTGCTTTATCACAACGTAGGTCGTCTCAAAGCAGTTCACAAATTATTATCCGTGGTTATACTTACAGGGCCTTTGCAACCAGCCAATACCTTTCTCAACTCCCTGGGGAGCATACAGCCGGAGCTGCCATTTCGGGGCCAACAGTTAGCATTCAACAATTCTAGCACTGCCCAACCACGTACTCATTTACAGCTGAGTAGACTGGAACAAGCAGAGTAAAGTATCTTGCTCAAAGATACAACACAGTACTGTGCCTTGACTCGAACCCGCAACCATTCGGTCACGAGCTCGGCGTCCTTCCACTAGACTACCATGCCTCCTTTGAACGACTTCTTCACAAGAATTGGAGGACCTAGGGCCATGATATTTGGCCAGTAGGTACCTTGCATGACTAGTCCGAATTATTCTGACGTTTTATCGACTTTTTTTTATATCAGTCTGTCGTCGATAAACGTCAGAACTCCAGCCCTCTATAATATGCGGGAAATAAGCGACCCGCGCCTGGATCGCTCTTCAAACTGAAATTTAAGAAACAAATTGTCACTTTCACACCCATGTCGCACATGGATCGAAAGATCTATTCTTTATGCACAAGATGAACATAAATTACATGCCTCAAACAACCAATACAATCACTAAAAACATATTTTTTCAAACTTACTCTGTTTTACTTTACGTTTTTGATAGCCCCGCCTTCTAATTCCACATGACTAAAATCTCGACGGCCTACGTCATAACATTGGGAAATACCTTCGGTAACACGAGATCTCGTCAAGTCATGTGACATTGCTCATGTCCTAATTTCCATTAAAAACATGGGTTGGTATAGAAATACTGTTCGTAACGATCTTTGAAACATGTTATTGATACCACCTAGAGCATAAAGAAGTGATCTTTCGATCCATGTGCGACATGTGTGTGAAAGTGGCAATTTGTTTCTTAAATATCAGTTTGAAGAGCGACCCAGGCGCGGGTTGCTTATTTCCCGCATATTATAGAGGGCCGGAGTTCTGACGTTAATCGACGACAGACCGATATAAATAAGTTGATAAAACGTCAGAATAATTCGGCCTACTTGCATGACATGCTATAAATTTTCCTCAAATAAATGATTTTTACTTTTTTTCAAGATCACAAGAGTTATTTCTGTTAAAACATTTAAACAACTTATTCTGAATAACCAAGAGGCCTAGAGCAATGATGTATGCCCAGTAGGTGCCTGGAAGGAGTACTATAAAACACAAGTGCTTGCTTACCTTAAAGTGCTTTGCAAATAATTTGGCAATTTGACACTGTTCACTTTTGAAGTCCAATATTTCTCTGAAAAAAAAATAAGGACATAGGTATTGCCATCTCATTACATTGATCCTTACAATCAATCAGACGCCACCACACATACAGTAATACAAAATCAACAGTGGATGCAAATGCCAAACTGCAGGAAAATTATAAGGCTGGAGTCATGTGCTCAACAAGAGGCCCAGAGGACATGTATCGCTCACCTGTATAATAAAGCAACCATCGGAAATAATTCTTATTACATAAGAAAATCCTTAAATGGTACAGAAGAAGAAGGATTTTAAAGATTTAAACCTCAAATTCCACAACTTTGCACCTAGAGGGGCCACACCCTTTGTTTATACAAAATTTAGTCACCTTTGCCCAAGGATGCTCCAGGCCAAATTTGGATGAAATCCCTCCAATGGTACAGAGGAAGCAGGATTTTGAAGACTTAAACCTCAAATTCCCTTTTTGGGCCCCGCCCTTCTGCAACACAGGGGGGCAACACCCTCTGTTTATACAAAACTTAGTCCCTTTTGACAAAGGATATCCAGGCCAAATTTGGATAAAATCCCTCCAATGGTACAGAGGAAGCAGGATTTTGAAGACTTAAACCTCAAATTCCCTTTTTGGGCCCCGCCCTTCTGCAACACAGGGGGGCAACACCCTCTGTTTATACAAAACTTAGTCCCTTTTGACAAAGGATATCCAGGCCAAATTTGGATAAAATCCCTCCAATGGTACAGAGGAAGCAGGATTTTGAAGACTTAAACCTCAAATTCCCTTTTTGGGCCCCGCCCTTCTGCAACACAGGGGGGCAACACCCTCTGTTTATACAAAACTTAGTCCCCTTTGACAAAGGATATCCAGGCCAAATTTGGATAAAATCCTTCCAATTGTCGAGAAGGATTTTAAAGATTTAAACCTCAAATTCCCCTTTTGAGCCTGCCCCTCTGCACTCAAAGGGGCCACACCCACCATTTATGCTAAACTTGGTCAAAATCCTCTGAGCTGTTAAGGACTAGTAGCGTTTTAAAGGAAAAAAATGACGGACGATGCGCCATGACCTTCGGGCCAGGTGAGCTTAAAAACTTCTAGGTGAGGTTATAAACTTCCATAAAAAATATAATGATAAGACATGGTATGTTCAGCGCTCAAAGTATCAGAGATATTTGAGTTTTGAACATCTAGTCATTCATACTTAATTTAATTGAAATTGAAATGAAAACATGCTCTCTAAACAATGAAAATATTCTATAAAGGAGAATAACGCCCTTAAAAATGGAATACATTTTGTATCACGCCCATCCAAAATGTTTCTTTTTTGAATATCTGTAACAAGTTTGCTTGAAATCCAAAACAATAGACATTGTGTTACTGTAGATATGTATAGTTGTGGGATCGCACAACGTTACACGATGTGCGGTGTGCGCACGATGTGTGCAAGGTGTGTGAACGATGTGTGCACGAAGTGCGAACGATAAAAAATTGGACGATCATTGCTTGCGCACATTTGTGCGGACAATCGGCGAACGTTGTGCGATAACAATCGTGGTTGGTGTAAATTGAGGAATGGCTAAACAATATATACGGTTTAGTGTTTAAACACATAAACTTGATTTTTTAGTATGTTTCCCTATCCTAACTTCATCTACAAACTTATCTTTCTTTCCATACTTTCTTAAATTTAGAATCTACACATGTAAACTTACAACACAGTCTCGGCTACACAGGTAAACATAGCCACTTTGTACCTGGACCGTAGTTTTCCCCCGCCCGGGGCACTTACGTAACTCGCCAAGGTGTGAAAACCAGGTGAAGGGGAGCTTTAGATTAAAACTAATGCAAATAACAAATACTAAACGTCCAGTTGTGTTTTCATAACGGTATACGGTATCACCGGCACAAGCCAGGTAAAACTCCGGTCACTCATCAAACTGTTATTTACCTGTTCTGTTACCTAGCTAAGAGCCAAATCCATTAATTCTTGACAGTATAACTGTCACTGTAGTGCTGTGATACACCACGGAATTAGATTAGATTAGACCATGTTATCTAAGTCCGTGGTTATATGCATTGTAAAATTGTACGTACTCTTAATTATTGTGATGAGAAATTACAATAATAAATACAGTGTACGTTATTGCATAAGAGCCTTCCGTAATTTTTTCATTCCGTAATATTGATCAACAAATTGTACCTAATCGCACAGTTGTGCGGAGAGAAGCGCACAACCGGGCGAACGATTGCTAAATCGCCCAGTTGTGCTCACCATGTGTGGACGATGTGCAGACGGTGTGTGAACGATGTATGCACGGTGTGCGCACAGTATTTTTGGTGCGTTGTGCGGTCACACAACTGTAACATAGTACAGATACTGAGGCAATAACTTCCCAAAACCTGACTGAAAGCAACTAATGTCAAACTCGTACCAGACATTTATGAAGTGAACATGTATACCAAATTTCATCAAAACCATAAACAAGTATAAAAGTTTGTTTATCAGTAGTGATAACGGTAAAAGTTGACATATGTTGCATGTTGTTAACATTTGCCATTTTTAACAACCATGTGGAGCTCAATGCAACTTGACTAAAATATATCCAGAATAGATCTGGATGTTTATCAGTAACCAATTTTTATTTTTGACAGACAAATTAGTTTTTTCTGTTTCTTCACTCTTATTTAAGGTATCAAATGAGTTTGAATGGTTTCTATAGTTTTATTAAATAACATTGAAGTTAAGGGTAAAGGATGTTCTGGTGATCAGTCTACAGTCATTAACAGATCAGATAAGCTGATACACCTATTGAACTGACACACTACCTGTTTAGCTGAACACTCCTGATGGCAGAGGCTGACACCAGTAAGACCAGTGGAGAACCTGGCTTAAGCTCCGTCTTCAGCATCTTCTTCCACTTGGGTAGGATGGTCCGCAGGTAAGACACAGGTGTGTGTTCCTTATCAGCACTCACAAAAAAGTTCCTATCTGTCAGAACAAACGATATAATTAAGAAAACTTATTACCACTTTAGCATTTATCAATTATTTTCAAAACATACAGCAATTTGAACAAAATCTAAATAATTCATATCTATATATCTTCAGATATTTTGACAGCATGTTTGATGGTAATATTCCAGACAGATTTTAAAACCATTTTGATTTAAACATGTAAATACTGTATATACAGTCAAATGAATGATACAACTTAAAACTCCTTATGCTTCAACTAATATAATTAGAATCACAATTCAAACACTCAATTTTTCATACTCCAAACAAGTACTAACCTGTGTCTATCTTAATGTTATCCCATTCCACTGTGGACAGTTTGTCTTTGTAGTGTTTTGTGATGACCTGGACCAGATCCTCAGCTGTCCCCGACTTACTTCCCTTCGCTTTTAACTCCACAGTAATTGTCTGTAAATTTGAAACCAATTATCAATTTGACTATTACTTTTTCCTGTGTTTTATGTGCATGTATTTGTTTTATGTCTATATCTTGTGTGTTGTGATGAAATTCTCCTATAACGTTTGCCCTAGTTTGAACTTTTTTAATTGGACAGAAACAGTTTGTTCAACAAAATACACAATTTACAATATGGACATGGACATGATACATACAATGACATATGTATACAGTATAAATAAATAATAACAATATCACATATGCAGATCCTGACAAGTTAAAGTATAAAACTATTCGTCACATCTAAAACATTATCTGCAGGTATTCTAAATTGGTCCATAAAATGCTCACATCTATAAAAGCTTCTGCAGGTATGCCTTTTTAAAAGACTCTATACTAGGTAAAATATGCAGTGAGCTTTCTAAATTGTTCCATAAAATACTAACAGAGTAACTAAAACATCTCTTATAATTACTTGTTCTACACTTTTTCACATAAAGTTGTTTGCTGTTAAAAGAGCGTGTAGTTCTGGTAGAAACCTGGTTAACAAGGCTAAAATATTGATTAAGAACAGGTACAGCTTAATTGGTCATGTAAAATCTAACACAAAAATAAGCGTTTCCTAAGATCATAAAATTTCTGCAATGGTAGCAACCTTAAAAGTTGTAAAAGTACGAAGATTGGGATAAAAAAAAGTTAATAACTTTAAGAACTACTCTTGCTGCCCGTTTTTGAATTTCTGACACATTTATGTACATTTCTTTTCCGTTTGGCTTTCTTTTTTTTCTCTTTGTTGTCTGTATTATCAGCTTGATCATCATCTGCCCCCTTGTCATCATCAATGGCTTCAGCTTTCCTTTTAACTGGTGCTGCATTTTCTGGTAACAAAAACAAAAACTATGTTGATCAAAACCACTTGTGCTATATTTATTATATGTTAATGGTGTAACCTTAGGGCTAGCTGTGATAGAATTAAATAATAAAATAGAACTCATATATCACAAATTCAAATACATCATGAAATAGCATGATTTAATTATGGTAAATAGATTGTTGTTGAAACTTTAAATCAACTCTACTAACGAAAGAAAGTAAATATCTCGATTTAGATAGGCTAGAGTTCCTTAAAGGAATTATTGTTGCACCTGAAGCCTCGACAGAGTGATCACTCTCTGGTTCAGAAGTTTCGCCTTCATTCTGAGCGCTTGTCCACCACTCGTCGTCTAGGTCGTCTGCCATGATGAGGAAATGATCAATAAGTTCGTCTTAAGACCGACTGCTACCCAAAACGCACATGGCAAGAAAAATAAACAACGTCAACGTTCTTTAGTTTCTTGATTACTCTGGGTTTCCGCCGGTTTAGGGTCAAACGGATGATTGATTCAGACTCACTGTATACGTTTAGTTACGTATATAAAAATTAATTTCAAAATAAAGAAACAATGGGTTATATGTAATACGCGTAAGATAATTTATTGGATGTTTTGTTCGAAATGGTACACAATGTCTATGTCTTATATATTAAATAATGCATGATTATTTTCCAATAGTACGAAAATGTGGCTTGCGTGCATGGGAGCAGACGAAAAAAGATGGAGGTGGATTGAAGATACAACTGAATAATATCAGGGTACCTTATTCCATCATGGAGACGAAACCCATCGTTACAAGTAAATATTTAATTAATTAAACAAAACATTAATGGTTTAAAAATAGGCCAGTGTATGAATGCAAAAGCTACATTGAAGGAAAATAATGCAGGTCTAAGCTTACGTGTTCAGGCCTAGACTTCCATCAGCATCTTTCATTTGTAAATTTCTAGGCCTACAGTACATGTAGTTAAATATGCATCATGACCGTGGCGTGTTTGCTTCTGTCAGTTTTGAAGACATCGTTTATGGAAATGGATGCGTATTTCTAAATCACAAAGAACTGAGATTAAAAGTGGGAAACATGTTTATAATAATGAGAAAATCAATCTGACAATAGCATAACGTCATAACACAAGACTACTGTACAGTATATATATTCCATCTTTTGTGGTAGTGACGCACCAAATGTGAAAGGAAAGAAAAAATGCGATAGCTTAATTCTAGACTGATGCTCTAATCATTAATGAGCTACCAGGCCAGTTCACTAGAAATCACCACCCTGAGCATTTGTAATATTAAATATAAGAGAAAGAGAAATACATCATGCACTGCCAGACTGGAATCGATCCCAGGACCCTCCGATCTCGACTGATGCTCTACCAATATTAATATAAGCTACCTGGTCGATGACGATCGATCCAGTCCAGTTCCGCCACATATCAGTGTGTACAGTTATTATAATAAGATAACTAGTATGTACCATTTATTCCTGTATTAAAACATTATGCACCGGTACAGTTCATATATATACATGTGGAATCTTTTTTAAAATTTTAAATCCCATTATTACTATAGACATTGCTACACTACTATGATTAAGGAAATAATAAGTGCACAACCGGAAAAGTAAGTCGCGAGTGAACGAAATAACAATGATGCATCACCACAAGCTTGAACTAGCTTTCAATGATGCCACATGAGCAATTCAGCAATACATGTAACTGGAGTCTCCTATCAAACATACCGTACATACTGCCACGCTCGATATCAAAAAGTTTCTTGTTATGCTTTCTGTTTATGATTACAATTGGATGGTGCAGTGTGCCCAGAGGGACTCGATGTGGGAGGAAACTGGAGTGCATGGGTTTGCTCAGATGATTCATTTCCTCCCTCTGCTCGATGACATTCCAGCTGGGCAACAAGAGTGATTGATAAATGTTGAAATAACTTTTATCAATCATAATTTTTTTTAAATACAAAAAAAAAATGTTATTATCTAATAATGATTAGCTTCTGAAATAAGTGTCGGTGACATCAATAGCCATTTCAAATTCAGAAACAGTATCCTTATAGGTTCAAATCTTATACATGTACAAGGAACCACTCCAAGGTAACTAGACCGAGAGATCTATGGTAGGTGGGAGAAAATAATAGCTGTGAAAATTAATGTCAGATGCTGGCTAATCATGATCAGCCTTCAAACATATGTTTTGAAAGCCAGTGGCTTGACCATGGCCACCAGGCTTATAAGCTTATCAGTTAGAGACAAGTTGGTCTGTCGCATATGATCTGATACAGTCTTGTTTCAAATAAAAAAGTATTCTTTTATTGTGTAGAGATCAAAATAGGAGTACATATAATACATCAAGTAGACTCAGACTTTCTTTAAAAAAAACTCTAAAAAACAAATAATAATGATTCGAGGCAGTGTGTAATTTTCTACCTGTACAACATTTTCAGTCAGATTCTGATCGGAAAAAGTGAAATTCCGATCAGATTTTGATCGGATTCTTCAAAATTCAGTAAGAATTTGATCGGACAAGGATTCTGATTCTAGTGTAGCTACTAGCCAGTACCATTTAGAAGTAGAAGTACTATAAAGGAAGTAAAGTGACAAATTGAGCAAGGTGAAAAACAGAATTAAAAGATGTTTTGTTTACAAACTGAAACAATTCATATGCATATTAATTTCTTTTAAAGGTCATGGAAATCAGGTTTTGTTTTCCTCGTTACATTCTGCACTCCTGCAAGGACTGCCAAGGGAGCCCACAGAGTGGAGAAGGTATGAATATGTACTGATTAAAGGCTTACACTACCACTACCACTAAAAGAAGTATGACAAAAATAATACACTTAATTTGTAAGATACTTATGGGTAGCAAAAATTCTTATACATGTATTTTTATAATTACATTCTTTTTGGAAAAATGTTACAAGATAATTCAATTTATGAATATCACTTGTTTTAAGAAGCTTCTCAACATATGTTGATATTTATTGGTCCCTTGTTTAATTTCCAGTTAAGCATAAGACTGCAAATATTGCAAAAGTGTCAATTAAAAACTAAAATATATGCTATAAGCACTTGCCTCTATACATGGTATACAAGGGGCCGCCTTGGCCAAGTGGTTAAGGCATCTGACATTCTGCTACTGCTAGCCCTCCACCACTGGGTCGCAGGTTTGAAACCTACATGGGGCAGTCGCCAGGTACTGGCTGTAGGTCGGTGGTTTTTCTCTGGGAACTCCGGCTTTCCTCCACCACCAAAACCTGGCACGTCCTCAAATGACCATAGCTGTTAATAGGGCGTAAAACACAAACAAACCAAACTTGTATACAACAGAAGTTAGTTAGATTGATGTAGTTTCGGTCAATTACAATTATGAAATGTGAGAAAAAGTTTTCAACCATATGAAATTAATGTCGATTTTGTTAATTTTAAATACCGAGGAGAAAAAGCCAAAAAATTATATGTATAAATCTGCTTCATCATATTGTGTTTATTGGTATTTTGAACCACAACTTGATGTATTTTATGGTGTGCAGGTCGTATGGTAGACCCCCAAAGACTCTCAAGCTGGAGGCCAGCTTTGTTCCTTTTGATGAAGACATTCTCCCTCAAGACAAGGACAAGACACTTGTTAGTCGACCTTACTTTCACATATTTTGGACGGATTGTGTAAGTTTTGTGTCTGATTTATTAATTATAAGGCACTGTAACAAGACGGTTTAATAGATTTTCATGATTGTGTAATCAGTATATGATATGNTCAGTATATGAAATTATTACATGTTCCTTAGATCTTTGTTATATAATACATATACTGTATACCNTACATGTTCCTTAGATCTTTGTTATATGACACATATACTGTGAAAAGAAAAAGCTTACATCTGATTTGTGAATAGTTTTTATAGTAATACACAGTGAAAGGTTGATGATCTAGAAAACATAATTTCTTACTGTAGTGGTTGATTATGATGTTGAAGAACTGATTTTCTAAGAATTTGAAAGTATAAAAAACAACATTATCTGGAAAATTTGATGAAAAAGTCTTTCTTTCAACAAGTTATTACTGTATAATAAATTACAAGCAAATACCACAACCCTATGGAGAGTCACCTGTCCTATTTAGGTTAAAAGAGGTAAAAAATGTTTCTTTCTCATAAAATAAGCCAGGTAATCATCAATCGTAGAAGCATTGATCAAAGGACAAACATCGATTCTGCAAGGAATAAAATCATACTGCGTATATTTTGTCATAGAAGTATTTATGCCGTGACAGTATTTCCATCTTGCTAATAAAATTCCTTCATCACATATATATATGACACCCAATCTGAAAAAAGTAATATATTGGCAGAGCAGACTGCTTTTGTTCAATGTCGTATATATGGAATGCCCCACCAAACCCCTCTTCTGTAATTTGGGTGAATTTATCATGTCAGACAGGGAACATGAGTAAATAATGTAGTATATCATACATGGTAGTGAGAAACATAGGCTACGTGAAATTGATACTGGAACAATATGGATTTTACTGGTGAAAAGCAAATATGATGTATTTGACCTGGCAATAGTTTCCTGGTATACAGTACATTCTAGTGGAAAAACCCCTACTGGAATTTTGGTAACCTTGAGAATATGAAATATTACATTATTATATGCCTGTCGAAAAATTGGACATATTATGTTATCACGTGAGCGAGCGGGTGGTTGGGCAGGCGTGCACAGTGTCTGCTCGATATCTCGAGTGATTTTCATCAGATTCACTTCAAACTTCATATGAAGGTTAATTACTGTGAAAGCTCGAATGAGTTCGTTAATCACTGTTTCTACAGTAATTTATGGAATGATGCCTTCTTTATTCAATTCACCATGTGACTGTGGTATTATGTACCACTTTGCGGTAACCTTGTATAGTTTAAGTCATGTTTGATTGGTAATACATAGTCAATATCTTGTTACACTATCTTATCCTATATCTTTATTTTGTTGTCAGGACCTTGACACCTACAAGCAATCGGTGAAGGAAGAGTTACTAGAATGGCACACAGCACTCAAAAACAAGAACAACCCAGACTGGCTGATTGCAGTTGTTGTGAATGATGAAAGCAAGATTAAGTCCAAACTGCTGCCCAGGTCCTCGGTCATAGACAAAGTAAAAAATGACTTCTGTAGCAAGCAACCGGACAGGTATCAACATCTTTTAAAAACTTGTATCAATTTTAAGAAGTATGACAATGTCATTTAAAAATTAAAATATCAGTACTAGCCTAATACTGATATTTCAAATAATTAACTGCTATTGATATTTAGACTACAAGGGAATGGTATCTATTAGCTCACATGCCTGAAGGGCAAGTGAGCTTATGCCATGGTGCAGCGTCCATCGTCCGTCAACTTTTCCTTTAAAACACTACTTGGCCTGAACGGCCCAGTAGATTTTGACTAAATTTGGTCTGAAGGGTTGATAGGCCGCAATTTTGTATTAACAGTGGGTGTTGCCCCCCTTGGGGCAGAGGAGAAGGGCCCAATAGGGGAAATAGATGTTAAACTTTTAAAATCCTTCTTCTAGCTTAGGGATCAAGGGATTTTATTCTAATTTGGTCTGAAGCATCCTTGGGCCAAGGGGACTCAATTTTGTATTAAACATATATCCAGGTGAGCGCTACAGGCCCTCAGGGCCTCTTGTTACTATACTTGGATACGATTAAAGTTCTAATAGACATCAGAAGTGAGTGGATGTATCAATGCATACTCACAGCTGAATTGTGAATTATGTCAACTACATGATCATATACTTAAAATATAGTAAAACTTTTCATGAGAGACTGCTCTTTCTACTTATATATAAGAGACCTTTTAACACATGTGGTTCTGTCATTGAATTGTCTTCTAGTTACCTCATCCTGAATATTCAAACTGTTTAATTGCCTTTATGACAAAATACTTCCATTTCCAGATGTATTGTCTTGAATGAGCCACTTAAGCTGGACTCAAAGAGTCAAGAGTCTTGGAATGGCTTTCTTGGCCGCCTGAGAGGACTAATGTTACAAGCATTTAGTCGACACCTCAGCAAGTATGAGGAAAACATGAGGAGCCTCAGAGAAAAACGAAATGAACCTGGCTGGGACTTCGTTAACTTCTTCCTTGTTCAGGTAACAGAAAGCTGTATTCATTTTCAGTAATCTTTTGCTATGTAATACATATATGTATGATATTGTTGAGGATTCTGCCAATCAGCATAAAAATCCTAAACTGAAAGGGTCCATGATACTTAGTATTTAACCCTTCACCCCTATGTAACTTTAGTAGACTCTACCATGCATTGATCTGGATGAGTCCATTATGGTCTACAGTGGTGAAAGGGTTAATGATACTTAATGATAGATATATCTGGTACAGAATTTTGTATTTCTACACCAGACTCAAAACATAATAACTGTTTTAAATATGTTCTGTAACCTAACATGTTGTTACCTTACAGCATGTTCTGTAACCTAACATGTTGTTACCTTACAGCATTATGTAAATAGAGATTGAATGTTGTATATATGATGTGTTACCATGAGATTAGTTTTATGTTACCTATGTCGAGTCTGTATGACAATGCCCTGAAATTCTATTACCATGGGGAGCTTGGGTTTAAGTTACACATGTTTGGTTTGCCTAACAAATCAATGCTACATATTATGTGTTACTAGGAAAACGCCCTGATCAAGTATTGATTGTTGCATCAGTGATGAGTTACCAATTAAGGGGAGATGCAGTTTATACTAGAAAATTTGGATCTAACTGATGATAGCCTGACACAGTTTGATTGAATGTTTTATCAATTATATTTTTCCAGGAGGAGTTGGGATTTATGTTTGAGATGCTGGGTCTACATGATCATGCCCTGATTCAGTATTGAATGTTTTATCAATTATATTTTTCCAGGAGGAGTTGGGGTTTATGTTTGAGATGCTGGGTCTACATGATCATGCCCTGGTTCAGTATTAAATGTTTTATCAATTATATTTGTCCAGGAGGAGTTGGGGTTTATGTTTGAGATGCTGGGTCTACATGACGATGCACTGATTCAGTATGATGAATTGGATGCCCTGTTCTCACAGTTTGTTTTGACACAAGCCACCACTGGTAGTAAGTGTTGTGTGTATTTGTTTGGTTACATATTATAGCCACAAAGTAAATATAATAATTGCAGCCAATCAACTTAGATCTCTTCAATCATATCACTATAGTAATACAGAGGGTTTTTTTCTGTGGAGGGGGTCCATCTGGCTGTTATTATAATCATGCAAGATTCATTTCCCCAAAATAAGTGGGTACAAATGTTTTTCCACTGCCTCAGGAGATGGTAGTAAGGGAACCCATATTTAATATGGGAGAAAAGGTGTTTTTGAAAGAACTGTCAAGATTTCTTGAAAGTATTTCTCCCACTGTTCTTTAGCACACACAAACATATAATGCTGAATTTGATGCAGACAATCAATACATTACCAATGATTGCCCTGGAATAAACAATTAAACGTCTGACACAAGCTGCCCCCATTACTGACCAGGACCCATTCATAACTGATTTCTGTAAATTGAGTTTTCAGTTTTATATGATTAACAATTCTTTTATTACAGAAAAAGCAGCATGGATGTCAAAATTTATGAAGGACTGTACTTCCTGGGCAGGGCTGTCATTGCGGAAAGCGATCAACCTTGACAAACGTGACAAAGTCAAACATAATGAGGCCACCTTGCTGGATTTCCGGAACTACCTATTTTCTCGTCAGTGTGCACTGTTGTTCCTGCTGGAAAAACCATGGGAAGTGGCTCAGAGGGCTGTCAACTTCCTCCACCAAACCATACAAGAGGTCAACACACTCAAGGTGAGGGGGGTCTTTACACACCACAGTTTATATCTTTACATCAGATCATGTTTACTGGGTATGTAGTTAGGATTTGTTTTTGATAAAAAATGTTTAAGTAAATTATGAACAAACAATATTAAAGTACCTGTTAGCATCAATATTTTGTGAAAATAGCAACAGGAAATACAGTGTATATAAATACTCATTGAATATAGCTCTAAATATATAACTGTTTTTGAACTATAAATAAAATGTTTAATTAAGTTCAAAAGCAGCCTAACCTAGCAGTAAATGTTATTCAAGGAATAACATATGGGAAGGGGACCAAAATGACAAGACAATTGCAGCAGTAGATCTTTCTTGACTGATTAGAATTAACAATAGTTTGTTGACATAAGATGTTATTTTACGACACCTTAATCACACGTTCCCTATTGACAGGTCGTGATGCCAGAGGCAGCCCTGGACTGCTGGGTGTTCCTCAGTTGTATGGAGATCCTACAGACATGTGAAAAGCACACAGACTCCTCACAGATGGAGGCCTACTCCCTGTACACGGCCAACCTCCGTGACTACACACGGCGTAAGGTAACCAGGGATCAGTACTAAGATCTGCTTCATGTACTATCATGATTTTCTTGTGTAATCAAATCCTATTTGCACTTAACCAAAGTGAACTCACGTGACTAATTTAAAAATTGTTCGTGTTAGCTTTACAGTATAGGTGAGATGTGTGGCCTGACACCGGACAATACACCCTCCTCTGAACAGCTGACCATGGTGCTAGATCTTACATCGGGCATGGGTATTGAGGAAGACTCAGGTTTGTTGAATTGGTTTGAGAGGGAATCAAATCATACAATTGAGATTTTGTATTCAACCATAAATTATTCTCACTGATGATATATAAATATGAGATTCACTTTATGATGACTGTCTATGACAGTCACAATCAGGTCAAGAAATTGTTTCATTGCACAGGCCAAATAAAATTAATTACTTGGTTCTCAGGCCAATTTTTTTCAAAAGAGATGCAGCAGGGCGGTATTTTTTTATTTTCATTTTACATGGCCAAAACGAGACGAGGGCGATTTTTTTTTTATTGTGTAGTTTGTAAAACATACATTGTGGGCATTACCTTGTCTTTTTATAGTTGTGTAGAGACCCAGATTTTTTTAAAGACGGCGGCTGGCGCATTCACGATTTTTTTTTTTATTACTTTCACGATAAAATCGGCAATGCGGTGCCCTAAAATGAAATACGCGCGGGCCTGAGAACGAAGTAATCAATCTTTTTTGGCCATACCTATTTACTCTTTATAACAAAAAGATTTTTGTGGTCATTTGATACAAGTTGCTGATAACAAGCTTGTGACACAACATTCCATATCACATAGCTCTCTATGGTTGTAATTTACTAAAACAAATACAGATGTTGGTGTTAAACTGAAAGTAAAACTAATGTTTTCATGACTGGTATACTACACACATTCATTTCTCCCTTTTTCAACGCAAAATACTTTTGCCATCCGCAAACTCTGACTTGGATAACTTGGATGTTGTTTGTCTCACTGTTAAAGTCTACAAAGAACCTTTTATAAGTTGGTTGGTTTTGTAATTTATTTTTTAGTTTGTTTTGGGAAAATTAACAGTTTAAACAATATATGTGTTGTTTAAATATTATCAATTGATGTACAAGAAATAATGAAATCGTATTTATATCAACTTGTTTTACATCTACAGAGGAAGATTACTCCGGACCAAATGTATCCCACACACCCCGTCCCAGGGACAAGCTGAGAGAAGCATTATCGTCAAATGACACTTTCCAAAAAATATTCCTGGTATGACTATTACTGAAGAACTAATCAGTTTTGCTGACATAGAATCTGAAGAAGTATAATATTAATAGATTAAAAATTGAACACAGACTTTTAATCTGTGAATTTTAATGAAACCAGCTTGAACGTATGTTACAGTCAACAGGTCTCCCATGAATTTTTAACTGTTGGTTTTTATCAGGCATGATTTCCCACTTTATTGGCCTGTTTGATATGCCAGTCTTTTGGTGACTTGTTTGTTGACTTACTTCCAAGAGTGCTTGAATATTCTTACTCTGAAAATACCGGTAAGTACAATGCATTTGATAAAGGATGACACTTTCCACTTGGAAACATTTCAAATTGAAAACTTGAAAAATCATGTTTTACAGTAAAAACATATGGCTAACAGAAAGTGTCACTTAAGAACTTACCGGGTAATTATGTTTTTAAATGAGTGTATACTGTTTGGACTTTAGGAGCTGTCTGAATTGACCATGGGAACTTTTAAGCACATAGGAAGATTTAGATCAGCAAGACTTATTGGAAAGGACTTGGCAGATTTCTATTTGTAAGTGTTTTACTGAACCAGAATTATATTTTTTGTCAATTTGAAACATTTTCTATATATTATGGCACAAAATATCTTTAAATTTGTATCTTCCTTTAAATAATCAATCAGATTTTAAAATACAGTGAAAGTTTTTACCAAACAGTAAAATGAGGAAATTGTCATTGTTTCTTTATTCATAACCAGGGGAAAATATAATTAATGTATACAGTTAGCAAAATCTGTAAGGATATGTAGATGAATTCAACACTGGGCAAACATGTTCAAAACTGCCAAAAGGTGGAAATATTATACAGCAAAACTCTCTAATGACATAAAACAGCCAGCAAGTGACAATATTATAGTTTGTAGTGACAAAAATGGCCAGCAGATGAAAATATTACAGTTTGTATAGTGACATTATGATTAAATATGTGCTTAAAGCTGTACAGTATAATCGACAAAATACATTTCCCTCACAATCTGTATAGAACAACAAAATCTGACACTCGTGAAAGATTCTTTGACCCTTTCAACCCTACGTTACTCTAGATGTGTCATTTATGGCCTACAGTGATGAAAGGGTTTGATGTGCATGTACAGTGTTCCCGTTACTATTTTTTTATTTTAAGTTGTATTAATGACCCTGATTATAACAGGCGCCTTGGAGAAGCCCAGAAAGCTGAGAACTTTTTGGTGGATGCCATGAAGAGCTATCAGCGTGAAGGATGGCATGCCTTAGCTGATGGAGCTCTGCTGGAACTGGCCAAATGCCAAAAGTTACAGGGTATTGACCACAAGTATCCTTGCACATAACTTTGTAGATATTGTTCGGCATTTATCATTGAAATTAGATTTAATGCTACTTGTATGGTGAACTTCTTCACCCCATTAGGATGTAGCATAGGGACTTAACACGTTCATATGACCCAGAATGAAAACAAAATACCCCATGGTCCGACCCCCAGATCACTTATTGTCAATAATAAGTGATCTGGGGGTCAGACCATGGGGTATTTTTTTTATTTTTTTTTACTGCTGGCTTTGTCTGTATCAATACCCATGAAGTGTTACGCCGGGCAGACAGTTCTAGGCGGGTACCAAAGCTCACAGACACTCTCAAAGACTATGAAATAAATTTGTAGATGTTGCTCGGTATTTATTATTGAAATTAGATTTAATGCCACTTGTTTGGTGAACTTCTTCACCCCTTTAGGATGTAGCACAGGGACTTAACACACTCATATGACCCATGGTCCAACCCCCAGATCACTTATTGTCAATAATAAGTGATCTGGGGTCAGACCATGGGGTATTTTTTTTTTTCATTCTGGGCCATAGGAACGTGTCAAGTCCGTAGGTCACAATCTGTCATAATGTTATGCTAGATTTGCTTTTTATTTATTTAATGCTGACCCATACAGTGTAACATGTCTCAACCAAATATGATAGAATTAGAGTACGCTGTATTTGGCAAATTCATATGGAGTCAGGTTTAATGTTTATCTCGGGTCCATCATTCATAGAATGTTGGTGCCCTATAGTACATATAATAAGCTTGTTCAGTTTTTGCTTCTGCATCATAACTTGCTTAAACATTATCCAATTTTGATGAAATCTTGTATAAAAGATGTACAAAGACTAAGACCAAGTTTAAATTAAAATGTCAGGGTAATCGACAATATGCGGCAAAGTCAACAGGCCACGAACAGTAGTTGTTACAGTGATGACCTGGTATGATAAAAGAGAGGAAATATCAGCCTGAGGACCAGGTATCAAAGCTAGTTTAGAGAAGGTATCCAGATCAGCAAAGAGGTAGGTGTTAACAGGTTATACTGTATCAAGTTCAGTTACACTTGGCCACTGGTTGGCATATGTCTCCCAACAGACTGGGCACTACTAATTCTGGTCCTACCTCAAAGTTGTCCTGAGCTTTACATATCCTGGATAAGAGTATCCTTGACAGAGGCACTAGATACATCAAAACCTGCTGTAGCATAGCCACCAGTACCAACCTCCCTGAGGATGTCCGACAGATCCACCTACAGGACGTCATAGAAACGGCTAAAAACAGTCCAGGTAATGTGACATTAGTTGGCAATTTAATGACTGTAGAATTATAATGGCAATATCAATTCATATTATAAGATATAAGATATTGAGGAGATAATCAAATGAAAAATGTTGAAGAAATGGTTTTGGGTATGCTAAAGTATACAATATCTGGGTATGCTACATTATCTCTTTCAATAACTTGCATATGAAGAGGATGTATGAAAAATTGCTATACTAATGTTATTGTAAGAGTAAAAGAAATTGGCCGGTAACTGAAACTGACCTTTCGTGACATGAGTGTAGTTTTCCAAACAATTGATGCAGCTTTTCTTAACTACATCAAATCTGCTGTTGTATAATGAATGTGAAAACTTATTAAATTTACAGACACGTCATTCACTTTGAAGTTATCGTCTTTATTCCACATTGCTGAAGTGACAGTATTGACCCCGAAGGTCATTGTAGACCAGCCTTTAGAAGTAGAGGTCATCCTCGTAAACAACACCCCTAGTGACATTCAGTGTGACAATTTGAAAACTTCGCTGAAGAAAACAAATAAGCTGCCAAAACTTTTGTCCCAGAAGACGGCGGTGTTCAGACAGGCTAGTAATAGCAGTGCCAAGGAGGCTGTACCTAACTTCAATCCTGTTGCACAACAGATAACCAGTATACTCAATGTTCAGGCCCATTATGAGGGAGCTCCCCAACGGCCAAATACTGCTGGCATTGTCTGTATCAATACCCATGAAGTGTTACGCCGGGCAGACAGTTCTGGGCGGGGACCAAAGCTCACAGACACTCTCAAAGACTATGATGATTTTACCAACTATGCAAGTTGTGATGATGTTGTTATCAAACCTGGAGAAAATAAATTAATATTTGTACAAAAGGTGAGCTATGTCTTAAATAGTTGTGTGTATATTAAATAAAGATATGAAGATATTTTTTTTCTCTATGGACAGTGCACAATCTTTATTTCATTCAGAATTAAATAAGACATGAATCACATAAAAGGTCTACCGATCCACTGACCGTACATTTATTGAGACATTTTCAAAATAACGAAAAATATCCTTGGGTTTAACTTTTTAAATTTATTGTTTAATTTTTTACCAAGTTGTTTATCCAGTTCATGAATTACAAGCAGAATTGAAAAGTTATTTGAATTTTCAGAATATTGTAATAACGATACGAAGTTTATATATATGGACTGAACATGAATACAGTGTACTTTGATATTGGTCTTTACCAGAATACTAGTGCTGGTCACTACAAACTTGGACAGCTGTGGGTGAAAATGAGAGGTATGAACTTCATCAAGTATTTGGAGGCCGACCAGTTCTTCCTTGTTCACCATGATGAACCTAGCTGTGAAATCATTCCTGTTAGTGGAGGTAGGTGGAAGAAAATAGAAATTTTCAAAAGTTTGTTAAAATATAGCCCCAACACTGTACGTAGTAGGGGTTTATATATAGCAGTCACTTTATTTATTATTCTGTTTGTTTGTACTTGAAGGCAAAAAAAAATGTTGAACCAAAGTTAACTCACAATGTACTATGAATAATTCTTCTTAAGATTTTTTTCATATTCCAAAAGAGCATACAAGAAATATCATGAATTGACAAGCTGTACACTATGTGATGATAACAAATGTTGTTAATATCAAAAGTTGTGTAAGAAAGTGTGACAGCTAGAATGGGACAGGCCAAAATTTAAATGCTTTGATAAGGCACTCTGGTATATGTATATATTATGTATATCTTAGTCTCGAGCTAAGATTCAGTAACATCCAAACCTTGGCTTATGCCTCGGTTGGAATTTTGTTACAGAATCTTAACCCTCGACCGAGATAACCCGGTCTTGCTCAGTTACAGGTAATAGATTTTATTAATCTTATTTGCTGATGCTATTTGTTCCTGCCATCTATAGATAAGATAGTGTCTGGTATACAGCAGTGGGTGGAGCTCACTATAGACCCCGGTAGCTTTATACTGAAGGAGGGGGACGAGCTGACCTACTTGACCTCAGATGGACTGACTGTGTGTCAGGAAGAGGAGGAGACAACTCTTCGGGTGTCAAAGATTACAGAGCTTGGACATGCAGTTTTCAGGATCCTGTTGTTCCATGATATCTACACAGTTGACCGCAATGCTGAGGTATGCTTATTTATTTATCAATTGATGATGTTATTCTATATTAGATAATGAATCGCATAAGTTACTATAATGTGATGATTTCCACAGTTGATAATGTTTATATGAAATTGTGATGATTACCTAGAATATCACATCTTATACAGAATATTATCAGTGACCGATAGTTATCTTCTTCTACACATAATGATAATGGTAAGACAGATGCTTGTATATATCGAGTTATCTGAACTAATAATTTGTGTTTGAGTGTTATTTTTCTTCTCTCCACAAAATCACCCAACCAAGTGGAATTTTATGCTATCAAACAATGACAAACCAGTTTGCACTTTCCATTTTCAGGCACTATACGTCCTTTAACATGCACAGATAAGCATGCTGCACATAATACTTGTAAGAGGGTGCTGTAGTATAGATAGGTATAAATTGCATTTGATCAGGATAGGTTCTAGATAGATTCTTGCAAACCAGATAAATATTATGGACTCTTGAAAAGTGGTAAATACTAATTCTCCACCCATTGCACTTATAAGCCACGTCCTGTTTCTAACCAAAACAAAATGGTGTCAAGCTCTTAGTGAAACACAACACACAGAATAAAAAGGATGGATGAAATGCATTTGTTGAATAAATTAAATATGAATAGTACACATTCCTTGTTCTTACCTCCATTTATTACTAAAACGTTCGTTCCATCCGTGTGTAGGCATCTAGTTAAATCTGAAATCAAATGAAACTTTTAAAATGTGTCTTATAGATTTTGCACAAAACTCTTCACAGATCTAAACAAATAATCACCGATTTTGTCGATACACACAGATTGGCATGCATACGTCCTAACATGGAAATGTTAGAATTTGGTCAATGTTAATCAAAATGTGTCGTATAAACTTAAGTAACAGGACGTTCATGAACAGTCGAAATATTCCGCCATGTCAACATACAGATCGAGGGATCGCCAGTATGGGCCAGGCCAAATGACAAACTTTTGAAAGCTTCTTTCTGATTGGTCAGTCAGCTGCAGAATCACTCGTCACCAGCACAGGTCACAAGAGTGCTTTACTACATACTTGTAGCAAGGTACAATGTTTCTAAACATATTAGCGTAGTATATTTGTTAAGGTGTGTTAGAATGGGGATAGTACATTGTTTTTTGTGTCTATATACTGGCGATAAGAACACGAAATTCAGTTTACACTCTTAAGACTTATTGGTCTTGAGTTCAAACCAAATTTCATGTTCTAATCGCCAGTATAGTCACTCAAAACAACGTACTACCCCTAGGTATCTGAAGTGTAAGCTTGCTTTATACCGGTATTTTTATGATACTTTGAATATCATGGAGATCTAGATTGTTTTTTCAGTTTGATGAATTGTTTTAATTAAATGCAGGTACGCCTTGAGAGCGACGTGTTCCCTGATCCAGTCTGCTGTTCAGTGATGTTCTCCTGTCCATTCCATGTTACACACAAACTTCACACGGCCTCCAACAGGTCAGTATACCCATCCTCATCTACATAGGACAACACAAGTATTTATAGTGCATCTGTCATTAGAAAATATTATCAACTAAATAAAATAACTGTATACAGAGAAATGTTCACAGCCTTTTAACTTTCATCCTTTGTTATGATGGCAAATGTATCCATATATATAAACTGTGTATCTTATACATAGAATTTCCACTTTAAAGGACGAAATAAATGTTGACGCATATAAAAAAAAAATCTCAAAATTTTCTAGTTGAAGGTAATTCACTTATATCCATGGTTTGGTTTCCAGCTGCCTATTACATCTCTGTAAATTATAAATTGAATATTTTGGACGCACAGTAGTCTAGTGGTAGGATGCCGGGCTCATGACCGAAGGGTTGCGGGTTCGAGTCATGGCACGGCACTGTGTTGTATCTTTGAGCAAGATACTTTACTCCGCTTGTTCCAGTCTACTCAGCTGTAAATGAGTACATGGTTGGGCAGTGTTAGAATTGTAGAATGCTAGCTGTGAGCGCCGAAATGGCAGACCGGCTGTATGCTCCAAGGGAGTTGAGAAAAGTATTGGCTGGTTGCAAAAAGCCCTATAATAACCACGGATAATAATTTGTGAACCGCTTTGAGACGACCTACAAACTAGGTTGTGATAAAGCCGTATATAAGAGCCTCAACTTATTAATTATAATTATTATTATAATACCGGTATGTGTGGTACCCGCAAACAAAATCCTGAGTCATGGGTTAGTATAGATGTTTTACTGGAATACTCTGTCTGACTGTCATTGTAGGAAGTATCTACAGATCCTGGTCCATGGTAATACCAGGGAGGATTTCACACTAGTCACACCCAACCTGACTGTCCAGTCACCCGACGTAGAGCTGCTGTCACTCAACAAGGCCAATCAGGAACTGGTAACACCTTGTCAATCCTCATTTATCCTTGCCTTGGCTAGATGAATTTCAAAATAAGATATAACACCATATCTGGCACATAAAAGATGACAAAGCCAGATTAAATTGGTCGCGATATTCCAAAACATACCAGCTGAAAAACTCCAGAGTTGGTACGAATGATATTCCATGTAACTATGCAGTTGAATACATGAAAATGTGATGATGTACATGATGTATATTATGGAGCAAAGTTAGGGCTGGGGTATACTGGACTTGGTGTCCGTTCATCCATCTTGTTGTAGATACATATTTCTCCCACCCTTCATAGGTGTGTCTCCCGTTTGAACTGGGAAAGATCAGCTTGTCACCCTCTAGGGGGAGATAGCCACGTGCCGATTAGCATGTACATGTTCAATTGTGACGTCATTAAAATGTGTCGCCGGTAATTGTGACGTCATCAAAAGTGAATGACAATATTTATATCCTAAATGTATTTTTGTTTACAAACATGGCAGACTACTGTCGGTGGAGTTATGACTGAAATAATAGGATGGGAGAAAAATATCATCCCCTACGTGTGACAGAGAAATCTCCAACCCTCGGGGTGATTTTTTGTTGTTGTCTAACCAAAAAACATCACCCCTCAGGTAGGAAATTTCTCTGTCACACCCTCAAGGTAGGGGAAGATTCTATTAATCCATCTGCTTGAAGATACATACCCAGACAACTTCTGCTAAAGTACTAAGATAGAGTTGAAAACTATGCAATTACACTTTGGATTAGTATGCAGGGTAGTTGGTAACTATGTAATTACACTTTGGATTAGTATGCAGGGTAGTTGTTAACTATGTAATTACACTTTGGATTAGTATGCAGGGTAGTTGTTAACTATGTAATTACACTTTGGATTAGTATGCAGGGTAGTTGGTAACTATGAAATTACACTTTGGATTAGTATGCAGGGTAGTTGGTAACTATGTAATTACACTTTGGATCAGTATGCAGGGTAGTTGGTAACTATGTAATTATGATTTTGACAATGTATCAACAGGAATTATTTTTTTGTTGATCAGGTGGTGAACGGCAACATGAATGTGTCCTACATGTGGCAGCTGAAGTCAAACACTAAAAACGTGATCCAAACCAACCTCTGTTTCACCACCACATTCCATTCCATACTGGACCAGGAAAACAAGAGCAGACAACTTTCATATGAATGTAATGTGGAAAACTTCATGGTATGTGTAAATATATTAAACTTTTGACGACTTAACCCATTTGGATAATAAAAATTATTAGCATTGCAAAATTTGGTATATGAACCATGAAAAATACCTAGTAGTTCATTACACTGTTTTACCATATGGTATTGGTGTAATATTTTTACTGTTTCTTCTATTAAAATATTGTCATGATGCAGTTGTATCAATTTTGAATGTTAGAAATTCCTTGATGAAACTTACAGTGTGCTTGTATCACCCCAATGAGGTGTGCAGTGCACTCACTGTTCTAACGACAAGTCACTAGCTCTCTGTGACCTTCACCTGAAGGTCAAAGGTTGAGTAAGTGCAAAATTTCTAGCGAAATCTTGTGGGAGGCATAACTTTTAAGCTGTGAAAGCTTTCTTATAATAATAAATAATAATTGGAGGTTCTTATATACCGCTTTATCACAACCTAGTTCATAGGTCGTCTCAAAGCGGTTAACAAATTATTATCTTTATTCTTGATGGGACCTAAAGTGTATCTGCATCTGAACGTGTGTAGAGCACAGTAATTAGGTGAATATGACCTCGACATCACTGTGCAAGAAGTAAAATTTCCTTCAAACTCATGTTCAGGTTATAACTTATAAACTATTAGAAAAATTTCAGTGAAACCTGAAGTATATCTGTTTAAGCCAAGAGGTGTGCAGTACATTTTAATAAGGTCAGGATTACCTTCACCTGAAAGCCAAAGGTCAAAAATGTGCAAAACATTTGGTGTATGTTGTCTGGGATGTAAATTTCAAGTCATTGATAATATTCTGATGAAACTTCAAAAATACCTACATCATAAAAAGAAAGTTTGCAGTGTGCAACCATGACCTTTGCCTCTAAAAAAGGTCAAATAAGGTCAAAGAAATTATGCATACTAGCTGATATGGGAAGATATATTTTTTTTGTACGTCCATTAAATTTGATGGAAGTATTATGGTATGGGGTTGGCCGGCCGGCGTGAACTTGTATGTCCGGCAATCTCCTTCTACATTTTTTGACCGATCTCTTTGAAACTGGGTATACATTATAATCATGATATGAAGTTGTGTCTCCCTTAAAATAATTTTGATTCGACAATTTTTGCAAACGTTATTGCCCTTTGTTCATTTCAGTATTTGATTTTTTGTCCGGAGATTTTCTCCTACATTTTGTATAGCATGACAGCTAACCACTCATAGAATGATGCAGATCTTATTTCAATGTAAGAAAGTATATAACCGTATATGGCATTCAACGGGCGTATATTGTTCCGCCCCGCGGTACTCTTGTTGTTCATTACAAAACATCTAGTTTTAAGAATAGTTTTCTATATCTAGTTAATTGAAAAAGAGGCTTAACCACTGTAAAGATTGACCTAGGTTTGTACGTTCTAAAGCTGTGTTGTTGTCTCCAGACTCTGTACACTGTGAAGACAATCGTGTCCGCCCAGCCGGAGATGGGAACATGTAAGGTCGGGGCCAAAGCCACACTTCGCATCCACATCCGATCACATGAACAGGATGATGAGGATGCCGACACGTCTTTGTCATATCAGGTCCTCCAGGACAGCAGTATCTGGGCCCTGTTTGGCAATACCTCAGGTAGGTATATACCTCATTGGGAAATGCATGATATTGTATACAGGGAAATTTTCACCTTTTTCACCCTCTGTAATGAGGGCAAATTCATCATTACAGTGAACATTAGTAGACAACATTATATACAGTATAACTTGTCTAAACTGGCCCCTGTCTAATCGGGATCCCTGTCTAAACATGTCCCGGCATATTCCCTATATAAACCATTTCCTGTCCATTCCCGAAAACCGGCTTTGTTTCTCACAAAAGTTGACACAGTAATCAATGTAAAAACAACCTGTTCATTCTGGTATATTTTTCTCAGCTGGCTACAATCTAAAGCAAACACATTCGAAACAAATCAGCGCTATCCAATGTCGGGTCTCCCTTCATTTGTATTATATACTGTATATTTTGTAAATAATTTAACATTGTAATTAAAAAAATGACATGCTGGCCCTGTATAAACTGGACACCTGTGTAAACCGGACAAAGTTTCGTCCCGGTGAAATCCGGTTGAGACAGGTTAACTGTACATAGTGTTTAAATGTGAAGGGTGAAATTAACACTGAGTGGATATAAATGGACTTTCTGTGAAAGGCGAAAGTTTGACTAGGCAAACATTTCCTGGTACGCAGTAGCTACCGGTATATACAATTATACATGTTCAAACTGTACAGCATTATTTAAATCCATGAAAACTTAATACTTTCATGTTAGATTATTGCCAGAATATAAAAAAATATATATACTATTATGTAGTCAGAAACTACTGAAAATGGTCCGTTACTAGAAAAACGTTTTTAATAAGTCTCATTTACCTTAAGAAAAATAAGTGTAGTATGTAATGTATGGTTTACTTTTTCCACAATAAAATCTTCTAATAAAAGATAAGTAAAAGCTCATATTGTCTTAGATTTCATAGTAATATGATCCCAACCATGATAGACAGTGGAGTTGTATTGTTGTGATCCCATTGAGTACCTCATTCCCTGACACACACATGATGCTGAAGGCTGTTTGTGTTGTAGGTGTGGTTCAGCTGTGTGAAGATATGACAGCTGAGATCACCTTGGGTGTTGTTCCTCTAGTGTCCGGGCTGGTGCCGCACCCACCAGTACAACTCCTCAAAAACCAAGCCGGTAAGCTTTTAGGTTTTAAAGGTCTTTATGTTGATCTAAATGATCTACACAGCTCAAGCTTGCGTTGTACTATTTTCACAATTCTTTCGGGAAAAGTTAGAGTTTGGTAAAAACTACAGTTTTGCTCATTACTGAATTTACAGTGTGGAGCCGAGATTGTTAAATTTGTATTTTTACTTGAAATTGCTAGGTCTGCAGTTTTTACTTGATTAGAAATGTAATGAATTCAAAGATTTGCCCAATGTAAAAATTAAGAATTGCTGCAAAAATAAAAAAAATGGAACAAACTGGAGGTCCTGTTTGGACAATAGCATTCTATCAAATTTTGTAGAGATTACTAGATATTTTAATTTGTCCAAGAAAGTTTTCATTACTTGCTTTATTTAGTTTTGAGTTATATATATGCTTGAAAAAATAAAAAATAAATATTTGTAGATGTTTGGTTCAAGCAAGGAGACAACAGCTGTAATAGCAAAAATGACAGCGATATTCCCATGTCCAATCCAGAGAAGAACTTGGTGACTACTCGCACTCTACCCTTCAGTCACGGACAGGTGTATTACTCCAGTATAGCTCAGCAAGTCCATGTGTTACCAGATGCTGGAGACTCCAACTAAAATCCGTCTTCGTTGCTCACATTGAAGATTTTTCAATCTCGTCATCTCTTTATATAATAGGAAAACAAAATAATGACAGAACCAGAAAAGTGTGTCCACATCTACAGTTTTATGGAAAAGAAATTGACAAATAATAGGAATGGGTTTTAATCCAAGACTAAAACTAATAAATTAATAATAATGCTTTAAAAATTTAAGTGAGGTTAATTAAGGGTGTATATTACCCTTCTTTTTCCTTTCCAAACAAGTTTGAGACTTAAGAAATCAGCAAATCTTTTTATAGAAATGTAATATCACGGGTGTTACTATACAAGGTAGCATATGATATATATAATATAGCCTAACAGATCAAGTGGAGTGATAACTAGATTTGGATCGTTTGAAGAAGTAGAGGCTAGACTTTTGTCAACTCGGATTAAGGCACATTTATTGTTCAACTATAACTTGTATGTCACCGCAATGTGTTAGATCTATTTCACTTGTATGTCTATGGAATGTGTGTGACATGTAAGTTGTCCGTCTCTTGAATGTGTGTTAGCAGGTACATCAAATTTGTACCGCACTAGAGTGTGTTTAATAATGAGGGAAAAAATTGATTTGTGTGTCTCGAGTGTATAAGTTGATTTGGGACCATTGCTTGTTCAAAAGTCAGAAATGGAATTTCTGGTTTTAAGTACATTACAGTATGAATCATGTATTACCAGCCAAGAGACTGTGATAGTATATTTATTTTACGCAATAAATATTATTCAATAGTCATTGTAGATTTCTTTATTTTTGAATTGGTTTAAGAACTTTCAAAAGATATTCAGCCTGATGACATCATTGAAATGACACAACTACTTTGTATGGTTCAAGATCAGTATATACATTGTATATATATATACCAAATATCACATACCACCAAAAGGACCAATGGCGAATCAGTAAGGGTAATGCAATGTATTTTTGTCAGTAGCTCTCCGAAGGACCAATATGAGCTTATGTCCTACGTATACGTACCACCGTGTCCAATGTCAGTCATCAGTTCTTCATAACGACTGCTTTTGAACATTGAATGGAAGTTCTCCTAATTTGAATGGAAGCATCCTTAGGTGGTGTGGGATTGGGATACAAAATTGTAGAAAAAGTCCAAATCTGGTGTAGTTCTAAAGAGGGGAAGTAACTCCAATTTATATATTTTTTCTTCACATTCCCCATCAATGAAGGCATTATTTGAAACAAATGTCATTCAAATTGATGCAGTACTTTAGGAGTTAAATACAAACAATGATTTAAACAAAGATTCAAAATTCTATTTATAGGGGAGATACTCTATTTAATATACTTTAATTCACATCCCTTCAATACAATTGTTGTGTGTACAAAATATCATTCAAATCATGCCGTGCGGTACTTTGGAAGGAGTTATGAGAACATTGTGTTTACAGACATAATACCGTTAAGTCAAAAACACTTATACATACAGTATTTTGAAATATATTACAGGATGTTGGTTTAATATTATGATATTATTGTCATGTACATGGATGATCATGTTAGTTTCATGATGAATACAAGTTATAATTCATTTAGTTTGGTGATGTTTAAAATGAATTCAAAGCAAGACTGAAAAATATTCAACTCATGGGTAAAATATACCTATTATTCATCATAACCCCTTGCGTTGTACATACATCTCCACAATACCACGAGCTGCACTCGAGAAATTTCATAAAAATAAATAAAAAAACATGTTATGGTTTCAGGTATATGACCATCATGATAAAATAATTTTAATATTACACTGTACAAATACAATTCCATTTATACATGATCACTTACAAAGGGTCCTGGCACTCTAATTATTCAACCATAAGTCTCTGATTATCCTAATATGATTACACAACTACAAATCCTATATTCAATGTGGGATTATTATTGTCGGCCACAAACTCAAATTTTCAGAAATATTTCTGAAATTGCTTTAAAATTTAAAATGTTTTCTAATGATAATTTCGGCAATGCAATTTTTATTTTAAAACTTACATATGTTAGATTAAAGATTTGTAAATATCGGCCTTTAAATGAAATCAAACAAAACAACTCACAAAAATAATGTTGATATTGGACATTATGGACATAAGAGTCTGGAACATTAAGCCATTTAGTTGCAGCAGAAATAGTATATCTATTAGACAAGTTCTCTACAATAAATTATCTTTTCTTATGTGATAAATGCATGTCTTGTCCCAGTGATTCTAGGCATGATTTATGACCAGCTGTCTTGACTATGAAACTGATACAGGATTAAAACTGTTGATACTGACTGGTCGAGTTAACCCTTTCACCCCTATGTAACTTTAGTAGACTCTACCATGCATTGATCTGGACGAGTCCATTATGGTCTACAGTGTTGAAAGGGTTAAACTTGTTACAACATTCAAACAAATGTTTTATCTCGTACAACACCCAACATAGACTTCACACATTTGATATGCAATCTGCATAACATATGTGTTGATTTATTCCAAATATATTACATGCACATGAATCAATAATACAGTAAACCATAAGGTTTCAACCAATATGGTTGACCTTATGAATAATCGTGAAATCAATTTTAAACTGAACAGAAATACTCCCTGAAAGTTGATGAAATTTCAATGTTCCTTGTTGATCTGATGAAAATTGCACTATCTAGTATTTACAATGTTAGGACTGTTCCATAATAGTCCATGTATAAGGGAGGTTGGAGACACTTGTATTAATGTATATTATGGATAGTGGGGACGTAACACCCTTCAATTCCTTATATCAAACCAGGGCCCGTATTCATGAATCTGTTGTCATGCTCAAACTCAGACTCTGTGCTCAAGCCCAATGTCTTTATTGATGATTAAGTAGAAAAAATCACATTCTGTTGATGATTTTGGGGAGACATCAAACACAAATTCTGTTTACACTTAACTAATTGACTGTGTCACATACTTTGGCGAGTTACAAGAAAAACTCGTTTGAGCACAGATTCCATGCTTGAGCATGAGAACAGTTTCGTGAATACCAGCCCTGCTTCAACATTTGATACATGATTGGGCCTTTTAAAAAGTCCCATCCCTTCCTTGCAGTTAATTCTGGAACAGCCCTTAAATGATGTTGGACCCAAATCATAAATTGAAAGCAATTCCTTGTAAAAAATCTTGTGTATCACATTATATTCTGTTAAAAACTGCAAATGTCACAGCGTGAAAACTTACCCTTTACATTTATCATGTCAAATTTAATTGTACATAAATCATATATCCAATGTCCTCTGTTCAATTTCATGATTGTAACGATGACGATTGCAATGAGATGAGCACATTAAAGAAAATTCCCTAATATTAATTTCGAAGCTAACCAGGATGTTAAAGATAAAATATTTCACCTGGAACATCACAGTATCAAATTGAATGATAGTACAGTAATCGATAAACAAATTTTCTACCAAAGATGCAATACCCTGTAATTATAGAAATATATTGATTTTTCAACATACCATGTTCATGTATTATTAATAAGAGGCCCAGAGGGCCTGTATCGCTCACCTGGATATGTTAGCAAAATTGAAGTTGAAATAGCCAGATGTTGCTGGAAGTGTACATGTATTACATGGTTAGTCACAGGTTGTATTTATATGCAATTGGACAATATCCAGTCATTCCTACATGAAAAGGAGTATTTTGAAGAATTTGCTGTTTCCCCTACTGGTACTGGGCCCCGCCCCTCTGCCCCCAGGGGGGTCAGACCCACCGTTAGGTCCCCTTCACCCAAGGATGCTTTAGACCAAATATGGACATAATCCTGTCATTCCTAAAGAAGAAGGATTTTAAAGTTATTTTTCTATTTTCCCTATTTGGCCCCACCCCTCTGCCACCAGGGGGTTCAAACCCACCATTTATTTAAAATTTATTTCCCTTCCAAAATGGATGCTACTGTTCAAATTTGGTCAAAATACCTTCATCCCAACAGAAGAAAAAGGATATTAAAACTATTCCTCTATATCCCTTATTGGGCCCTGCCTCTCTGCCCCAAGGGGGTCAGGTACACCGTTCATCCAAAATTTGGACAAAATCCTGTCATCCCTTCAGAAGAAAAAGAATTTTAAATAATTTGCTAAATTACCCCTATTGGGCCCCAGAGGGTTAGACAACATTGAGTCCCCTTGGCCCAAGGATGCTCCAGACTAAATTAGGATAAAATCCCTGAATTCCTATGGTAGAAGAAGGATTTTAAAGGTTTTACCTCTATATCCCCTATTGGGTTCTGCCCCCAGGGGGGGCCACACCCACTGTTTATACAAAATTGAGTCACTTTGGCCTAAGGATGCTCCAGACCAAATTTAGTCAAAATCTACTTGGACGTTCAGGAATGGAAGCGTTTTAAAGGAAAAGTTGACGGACGGACGACGGCTGCTGCGGTATGGCATAAGCTCACCATGCTCCTTCAGACCAGGTGAGCTAAAAACTCTGCAACTTATAAATTAGCAATTTAATATCAAAAACTCTACAGAACTACAACTTATATAGTAGGTATTGCATATCAAAAACTCTACAGATTATACAACAATAAATGCACAGCATAAATATAAAGGTTATCACAGTTGACCTGTACTTGTTGACCAAGTCCTGTTGTACTGTCATGATTTCCCAAGAATTGGAAATTTCATGAGCTCTTCCAGGTTAACTTAAACCAATTTTGCAACAAATGATCATCTCATATCACCCTTGGGTAGTAAGTGTAATGTTTCAAAATGGCCACCATGACTATGGGCCAAGACATTTTCTAGTTGTCAAGTTATAATCAAGAATGACTGCACTAGTTTTGAAGTAATCATGGTAAAACTATTCCTTTCATGACCATGAATAGAAAAAACTGAATACATGCACATGTAACAATGAGTAGTAGTACATGCCTTTTAGGTCTCTTTTTACATTTATAGTAAAATGTGTGATACTGTGAAACATTCAAATATTTTGTCCAAAAACACAGAATAGTTTATCATGAACAGAAGTTTCATAAAATTGCACAAACATCACCACTTGTTGAGGTATATATAATTACCAGGAATGAATATAAATCATGTATATACTGTCAAGTGTATTTAAACAGTCAAAAAATCATTCACAAATGTTTATACATGAAATACACACATACATACAGCTTGACTGTGTTCACTAGGACACCAACAGTTTCAAAAAATCGAAATCCTCAAGCTAATATTTGGCAACTATTTCTTTGAAAAGTACAATCTTAGAACTTTAATCTGAGAAACGTTTTATTCTGGGAATTCTTTATGAAATCAAAGTGTCCAGATGACTGGATTCATGAAATCCACTGTACATAGTCATTCAACAAAGCAGAGGGGTGTCTACATATAACTATGTATTGGTTCATCGCCTCCTTGTAATTCTATCAAGAAAATGTATGTGTTTATCACATACTACAGTATATTATATAATATTGGCTGTCTCAAGACCTTCTTAACATATACACATTGCATGATTTCTGACATCCTCGATACTCCAGGGGTTATGTCACTTTCACTCTCTACACCCCTGGAATATGTCATAACAAAATTGAAGGCACACGGCTAACTAATTGATTGGTCTCAGGTAAAAAAACAACTGAGCAATCACTAGGCTCATACCTGTCCTTTGAACATTACAGAGGAGTGACACCCGACTTCAAAGCTAGTCAATTTCACTATTACGAGGCTTACAAATTCTTTTGATGTACATCAAAGGATCAAACTAGTCTTCTCGTTTCATCGATACGGTGGTGAACACTGAGCCTTCGTTTTTGCTAAGACATATTCCAGGGGTGCAATGAGCAAAAGTGAGCATAACCCCTGGAGTATCCATGCAACAGGATTGGCAGACAAGCACATGTCATTAATCCATTTCTGTGATTTCTTCAAAGTGAGGAGTCGTGTACATAACCCAAACCATTATGAAATTCTACCAGTACATATATTTAACATATAAAAAAGACTTACAATGCCTCCTTTCCCATTTCTTTTCTCCAACATGGAGCGAACACTGCATTTCCATGGAAACAACACTATATGATTGATGTATTGAACAAGGATATATCTGTTATGGTTAGATTCCCGAGCATAAATCCTCGCAACTATACAGTTTAGCACTGGTAGTAGCCAACATTTGATGACGGTCATTTGGTGGAATGCAATGTCAAACAGTATGGGTAAAGTCAATTAGCCTAGATTAAATAGTCAGAGTCTCACATTTGGCAAATAAGCAGTCAAACCTTGTTATTATTAAAATCATTCACCACCACACACATCCTATTAAAATCTATAACAATAATATTATATAACAATTACAACTACGCTTCTCCTGGGGGTCAAACTGGCACAGCACTAAATACAATCTTTGGTTCCTCAATGTCAGCTTTGCTCTGTACCAGTCTGAGCTCCATCTGTTCCGGAGTGGGCTTATTTCCTTTCCCAGCCAAACCTATAAAACAACAAATGCTTCGTGTAAGATTAGTGTGTCCATAAGCAAGCCATATGGCATATCACAATGAATTTTGTGCTGATTAAGTTCTAAACTCATATTAACTTGGGGAGTAATGTGTAGGCTAGCTGGTTTGTCCCAATTTTAAGAATGACCTCATCTCTGACCCTTTAAATTGACCCTAGGATCTGGAGATTGTATGTAATGGCATTGTCTATTCACGATACATCCTTTTGCAAAGTTTCATAAACAATATTACCGTAAACAGAAATTATTGCCCAAAGGAATAAAATAACTTGAAATAGACCTTCAACTACAATCTTGAGCTAATAGGTATGGACCTGATAGTGGTGTGTGATTGACCTGACCCAAAGCTGTAACCTTGACCTTAGGTATGGACCTGCCAGTGCTATGTGCCTGACCTTACCCAAAACTGTAACTTTGACCTTAGAAATGGACCTGGCATTGGTAAATGACAGATCTGAATTGGACCTGACAGTGGTATGCGACTGATCTGATATTATTTTAGTGCAAAGTAATTTTTATTTCATGTGGAAACAGAACTTTTAAATTTATAGATTCACCTTGCTATAAATCAACATTGCTTCAGAAAATAACCCATTTAAATCAAAATTCATGCTTATGAACTTTGATTATTTTGAGTATCCCATTTAGCTTCTTTTCCCCTTGCCTCATTCTCAATAACAAGGTATATATAAGTATTTAGAGGAATGCAATGAAGACATATAACTCACAATGCGCATGGGTAACAGTCCTCGTTATCACTGCTTGGACAATTGACACTGTCTTCTCTAGTGCAACCTGGAACAATATAGCTCAGTGTAGGTAAAAAATTATAAGATTTTTATATTTTTTTAATAACATAGTGTTTTCCCTTTCATTTAAACTAAATTAGTATTTCTACAGGTTAAATGTCAACATCCCAAAAAAGAAATATTTTTCCAAATTCATATTTAGTTAAAAGTAGAAGTTGTATAATATATAAGTATTTCAGTGGACATAAATAGCTTTTTTATCTAACAATTACTGATATTCATTGATAAATATTCTTTTGTGTATTCTTATGTCAATTAAAACAGGTAAATTAAAAAAAGATAACTCTTATATCTACACTGGTACTGCTCACCTTGAGGTTTTGGTCTTTCTGTATCCAGGCGAGGAGACAGGCAGCAAATAGATCTCCTGTGCCCACAAACGTCTGATCGATGAAGGGCATATCTATCCGGTACCGCTCCATACTAGTACTCCCATCTGTGTGCAAAACAGGAAATTCATGTCACATTAATATTGATAGGAGTTATTTTGGTATATCAACATTTTAACAGATAATACTTTCACGCCTAAGTCCAAGTACTTTACATTGTGACATAAAAGCATTCTTCACAATTATAAACCAGTGTTATTTGTAGTTTTAAAATCATAGATATTTCCCAGTTTTTTTTATTTATTTTTTTCAAAAGTAAATTTCAATGACCAGTACTTGCACTAGAAAGCAGAGGTCCAGAGGGCCTGCTTCACTCACCAGGACATCTAAGTGATAATGGCAAAATATTCTCCTTTAAATATTGCAATATTTCCCCATTGTGGGCTCTATGTTTTTGGTCTTATGGATGCTTCATGGCAAATTTGGTTAAGATCTGTATACATGTATATGATTATAGCATTTTGATCTCAGCCATTTCTAAGATAAAATCCTGTGACTACGTCCTTGGGGGCGGGACCAGATCCAATGGCTAATCCTGGTACATGTAATATGGTTGCGTTCTTTTCTTCATGACCAGCAAGTGCACATTTTCTCATAGGGTGGGACTTTCAACCATTTGCAAGCTAGGACCCAAGGACTTTGTCCACAGGAACTGGCAGGAACTGAGTAAACCACAGTAGCATAAGTTTATTCATCTCGTCACATAATATACACAATTTCATATAGGGTCATTAGGGGAATCTCATACATTTGAATGTGATGACCAAGTCCCCAGAGGCCTAGCCAAACTATGTGCCATGCTCAAAAGCATGACATTGTCTTGTGTCTTCTTGTCCAGTATTATATTGGTAATGGGGTGGGGATCTTGGAACATTTCAATGTTGTGATCTTGGTACTCAGTTCCCGGGACGGTGAAACTCCAGGGCCAATAGTTGTATGATTGTGTACATATGGTTAGTGTTCGGGGATCTCAAATGTTTCCATGTTTGAAATGACCCTGCGTCACAGTTACCAGGAGCAAGGCCAAACCTCAGGGACAATCCTGACATCATGATTGTGTTCTTCTCTTCAAGCCAAGGAAACAGGTACCTGGTATATGGTACTAGGATGGAAATCTCAACCATTTCCTATTTATGGAACAAGGTCACATGTGCCTTAACAAGCAAATCAAGGTCATTTATATGAGGACACAATAGATAGTAATCAATACCAGGTGTAACAAGAGAAAGAGAAATGCAACGGCCAGACTGGGGTTTGAACCCGGGACCCTCTCAACTCTAGACAGACGCTCTACCAATTGAGCTACCGGGTGGCCAACGATCGACCCAGTCCAGTTCCGCTACACATGTACCTTCTTCCTATATATCACAACCCTGGGCCTTACTGAAATTAAGACAAGTTTAAAATGTTTTACCAATCCTAGCCTATTTTGACCTTGACCTCACCAAGAGCTTCAAGTTAACTTTTGGTTTCAACGTAATATTTTAGAACACATTTCACACTGCTGGTCTATATAACATACTCAAGTATTATGGCTCTAGACCTTATGGTTCTTAAGATAATTTAAACTGTGTAGCACTTTAACCCAGAACTAGCCAAATATGACTCTGAGCTTTATGAAACCTCAGAAGAAGATTCTTAAAACCAATTACAGACCATGTTGCAATTTTACCCTGGCCAAAGCTTAAAGTTGCCCTATGACCTCAACCCAGTAAATCATAAAAATTCTGCATTGCTGGTCTACATAACATTACCACGATACCTTGAAAGCAGGTCAAGGTCATTTATATGAGGAAATTGTCTAGCACTCAGTCCCATGTACTTACTGGTCAAACATCAGGATCTTGAGTCTTTTAGATTTCAAGACGACATTGTTCAAAGAAATATTGATTGAGGGATGGATGATGGCGGACAGAAGCTCACATGTGCTTTTTGCCAGGTAGGTTGGTAAAAACCAATTTGACAATGAAGGTGTGAAAATGAGTAAATCGCCCCTGACCTGACCATCTGCCGAATCAATGAACATTTTTTTCTAACAGAGCTACATGACCACATCCTTACTCTTTATGGAGCTGGCCAGCCCAACTATAGTGTCATCAGGCCCCAGGTCACTGCTACTGATGACCACTGTCTTTGGCCCCATACCGTGCAGAATCTGCATTGCCTTCCACGCATCAGCCTCTGTCTTTATCTCCACTCCTGTCAGCAACCTGTAACAGTCGAGCATGTGACTTATCTCTCCACTTATAACTCATGCTATTATAACAGCTGCAGAGTTAAAGGTTAATGGGATCTAATGTCACACTGACGTAGAACCTTAAAAACAGTAAATGGTTAAGTGTTGTTTAACGATTCTTTTACTTCTTGGCCCAGGGTTATGATATTTGGCTAGTAGGTACACTGGGATTTGATGCTATGAAGTTTCTTCAAATAAATGACCTTAACCTATTTCCAAGGTCACTATGGGCAAACATGTTGATAACTTCAAACAAAATTACCTTAAGAGTTATAGTTATATAGGTCTCGAGACTTTATACTCGATTAGCAATGCAGATTTTTTTTATAAACTAAGACGGAGTCAAACGTAAAATTTAAACTCGGGCCAATATCAAAGGCCAACATTGGCTGTGATTGGTCAGTAGCTTTAACCACTTTCATATGCTATAGCCAGTAGGTACATGTAACTGGTATGGAGTGCTATCTAGTTTCCTGGGCCTACTTTCAATGTCACAGGGATCAAAAATATTTTAAATATTTCCAACAACATCATCTATAAAACCCTAAAGCCTAGAACCACAAGACTTGGATAAGTTGTGAAGAGCATCAGTCTTTTTTCTGGTATGTAACATTCAGTTATAAGGCAAAATTTTAAGGACTAACCAGGTTCAAAGGTCAACATTTGGTATGATTAAAGCATTGAACATTATTTCAAATTCAATAAGGGTCTGGGTTGTGATAACATGGAAGTTATTACCTAAAACAGAACACTGAATAGTACATTATAAGGTTTCCTTATATACATAAACTTGACTTACTTTCAAGGTCACTGGGGCTCTTGAGACTGGTCAAGGTGTACACATGTACTCCATAACCTTATACCAATTGGTCTGACATGAAAAACACAGTCATGCTACCAGGATTTGCCCTGGGAGTCTATAGCCCTATTCCTGGAGACCTAGTCTGTAGGTCATAACATGGAAAGCTTTGAGATACCCACCCAGCTATCTAATCATATCTACCAGGATTAGCCTTGGAGAATTGGTCCCAGGGTCATAACATGGAAATGGTTGATATCAAAAACCTATAACAAAATACGTATTTATAACGATACCAACCAAATCTGGTACGAAGCATTGTTGGGACCAGAGAGATAGAGCCGGAAATGGTGAAACAATTGCAACACAAATAGGAGAATATTTTTGCTATCATTGCTAAAATACTCAAGTGAGTAACACAAGGCGGTCTGGCCCTCTTCTGTTTTGTAACTTGAATCAGTAAGACTGTCTTATCTTGAATTTGGGAGCTAGGTTATCTTCTTGATATACTTCAGTACTTACTCAGCTTCAAACTGGTTTGGCGTAACAATGTCTGCAAGTGGTAAAATGACTTTCTTGTACACCTCCAGTAGTTCTGTGGGCACATACTGAAACAGACATCTACGTGTTATTTTCTGGTATGTGTTTTCCTTTTGTTTAAGGACTCAAACTGCAAAATTCAAACAGTGCAATTCTTAAACCGATATTTGAAGATTTGCCAGGTTGTTTTATCGGACCAATTATAGCAGACCTTACTTTAAATAAATTACTCCGCTGGAAAAAATTACATGTAAGCATTCTTTGGGGTATTGTCATACAAACACATATGAATCTTAAACTTGATATATTATATACCTGTGTATATATATCATATAAAGGTTTTGTGCAGTCATTACCTGGATGGGATGTTATTTACTGTGTAGTATAATAAAAGAAGGACACCATGAAGTGTACCAGTATAGGGAGGGGCACTGTGTAGTATTACAAGTATAGAGAGGGACACTGTGTTGTATACCAGTATAGGGAGGGGCACTGTGTAGTAAACCAGTATAGGGAGGGACACTGTGTAGTATACCAGTATAGGGAGGGGCACTGTAGTATACCAGTATAGGCAGGGACACTGTGTAGTATACCAGTATAGGGAGGGCACTGTGTCGTATACCAGTATAGGGAGGGACACTGTGTCGTATACCAGTATAGGGAGGGACACTGTGTAGTGGACCAGAATAGGGAGGGACACTGTAGTGTACCAGTATAGGGAGGGTCACTGTGTAGTATACCAGTATAGGGAGGGACACTGTATAGTATACCAGTATAGGGAGGGACGCTGTGTAGTGTACCAGTATAGGGAGGGACACTACTGTGTAGTGTACCAGTATAGGGAGGGACACTGTAGTATACCAGTATAGGGAGGGGCACTGTGTAGTAAACCAGTATAGGGAGGGACACTGTGTAAGCCAGTATAGGGAGGGACACTGTGTAGTATACCAGCATAGGGAGGGACACTGTATAGTATACCAGTATATATAGGGGGGGACACTGCGTCGTAGACCAGTATAGGGAGGGACACTGTGTAGTATACCAGCATAGGGAGGGACACTGTATAGTATTCCAGTATAGGGTGGGACACTGTGTAGTTTACCAGTATAGGGAGGGACACTGTGTAGTATACCAGGATAGGGAGGGACACTGTGTAGTATACCAGTATATATAGGGAGGGACACTGTGTAGTATACCAGACCAGTATAGGGAGGGACACTGTGTAGTGTACCAGAATAGGGAGGGACACTGTGTAGTATACCAGTATATATAGGGAGGGACATTGTGTAGTATACCAGTATAGGGAGGGGCACTGTAGTATACCAGTATAGGGAGGGACACTGGGTAGTATACCAGTATAGGGAGGGACACTGAAGTAAACCAGTATAGGGAGGGACACTGTGTAGTATACTAGTATAGGGAGGGACACTGTGTAGTGTACCAGTATAGGGAGGGGCACTGTGTAGTATTACAAGTATAGAGAGGGACACTGTGTAGTATACCAGTATAGGGAGGGCACTGTGTAGTAAACCAGTATAGGGAGGGGCACTGTAGTATACCAGTATAGGCAGGGACACTGTGTAGTATACCAGTATAGGGAGGGGCACTGTAGTATACCAGTATAGGCAGGGACACTGTGTAGTATACCAGTATAGGGAGGGCACTGTGTAGTAAACCAGTATAGGGAGGGGCACTGTAGTATACCAGTATAGGCAGGGACACTGTGTAGTATACCAGTATAGGGAGGGCGCTGTAGTATACCAGCATAGTAGTATACCAGTATAGGGAGGGACACTGTGTAGTGGACCAGAATAGGGAGGGACACTGTAGTGTACCAGTATAGGGAGGGACACTGTATAGTATACCAGTATAGGGAGGGACGCTGTGTAGTGTACCAGTATAGGGAGGGACACTACTGTGTAGTGTACCAGTATAGGGAGGGACACTGTGTAGTGTACCAGAATAGGGAGGGACACTGTGTAGTATACCAGTATATATAGGGAGGGACATTGTGTAGTATACCAGTATAGGGAGGGGCACTGTAGTATACCAGTATAGGCAGGGACACTGTGTAGTATACCAGTATAGGGAGGGCACTGTGTAGTAAACCAGTATAGGGAGGGGCACTGTAGTATACCAGTATAGGTAGGGACACTGTGTAGTATACCAGTATAGGGAGGGCACTGTGTAGTAAACCAGTATAGGGAGGGACACTGTGTAAGCCAGTATAGGTAGGGACACTGTGTAGTATACCAGTATAGGGAGGGCACTGTGTCGTATACCAGTATAGGGAGGGACACTGGGTAGTATACCAGTATAGGGAGGGACACTGTAGTGTACTAGTATAGGGAGGGCGCTGTAGTATACCAGCATAGGGAGGGACACTGTATAGTATACCAGTATATATAGGGAGGGACACTGTGTCGTATACCAGTATAGGGAGGGACACTGTGTAGTATACCAGTATAGGGAGGGACACTGTGTAGTATACCAGTATATATAGGGAGGGACATTGTGTAGTATACCAGTATAGGGAGGGACACTGAAGTAAACCAGTATAGGGAGGGACACTGAAGCATACCAGTATAGGGAGGGACACTGTGTGGGACACTGTGTAGTATACCAGTATAGGGAGGGCACTGTGTCGTATACCAGTATAGGGAGGGATACTGTGTAGTATACCAGTATAGGGAGGGACACTGAAGTATACCAGCATAGGGAGGGACACTGTAGTGAACCAGTATAGGGAGGGACACTGTAGTGTACCAGTATAGGGAGGGACACTGTGTAGTATACCAAGTATACCAGTATAGGGAGGGACACTGTGTAGTAAACCAGTATAGGGAGGGACACTGTGTAGTATACCAGGATAGGGAGGGACACTGTATAGTATACCAGTATAGGGAGGGACACTGGGTAGTGTACCAGTATAGGGAGGGACACTGTAGTATACCAGTATAGGGAGGGACACTGTAGTGTACTAGTATAGGGAGGGCGCTGTAGTATACCAGCATAGGGAGGGACACTGTATAGTATACCAGTATAGGGTGGGACACTGTGTAGTATACCAGTATAGGGAGTGACACTGTAGTGTACTAGTATAGGGAGGGCGCTGTAGTATACCAGCATAGGGAGGGACACTGTATAGTATACCAGTATATATAGGGAGGGACACTGTGTAGTATACCAGTTTAAAGAGGGACACTGAAGTATACCAGCATAGGGAGGGAAACTGTAGTGAACCAGTATAGGGAGGGACACTGTAGTGTACCAGTAAAGGGAGGGACACTGTGTAGTATACCAGTATATATAGGGATGGACACTGTGTAGTATACCAGTATAGGGAGGGCACTGTGTAGGATTCCAGTATAGGGAGGGACATTGTGTAGTATACCAGTATAGGGAGGGACACTGGGTAGTGTACCAGTATAGGGAGGGACACTGTGTAGTAGGCCAGTATAGGGAGGGCACTGTAGTATACCAGGATAGGGAGGGACACTGTATAGTATACCAGTATATATAGGGAGGGACACTGTGTAGTATACCAGTATATATAGGGATGGACACTGTGTAGTATACCAGTATAGGGAGGGCACTGTGTAGTATTCCAGTATAGGGAGGGACATTGTGTAGTATACCAGTATAGGGAGGGACACTGGGTAGTGTACCAGTATAGGGAGGGACACTGTAGTATACCAGTATAGGGAGGGACTCTGTGTAGTATACCAGTATAGGGAGGGACGCTAAATTATACCAGTATAGGGAGGGACACTGTGTAGTATACAAGTTTAGAGAGGGACACTGAAGTATACCAGCATAGGGAGGGCCACTGTAGTGAACCAGTATAGGGAGGGACACTGTAGTGTACCAGTAAAGGGAGGGACACTGTGTAGTATACCAGTATATATAGGGAGGGACACTGTGTAGTATACCAGTTTAAAGAGGGACACTGAAGTATACCAGCATAGGGAGGGCCACTGTAGTGAACCAGTATAGGGAGGGACACTGTAGTGTACCAGTAAAGGGAGGGACACTGTGTAGTATACCAGTATATATAGGGATGGACACTGTGTAGTATACCAGTATAGGGAGGGCACTGTGTAGTAAACCAGTATAGGGAGGGACACTGTGTAGTATACCAGAATAGGGAGGTACACTGTGTAGTGTACCAGTATAGGGAGGGACACTGTGTAGTATCCCAGTATAGGGAGGGACACTGTGTAGTGTACCAGTATAGGGCGGGACACTGTGTAGTAGACCAGTATAGGGAGGGACACTGAAGTATACCAGCATAGGGAGGGACACTGTAGTGAACCAGTATAGGGAGGGACTCTGTAGTGTACCAGTATAGGGAGGGACACTGTAGTGTACCAACCAGTATAGGGAGGGACACTGTATAGTATACCAGTATAGGGTGGGACACTGTGTAGTATACCAGTATAGGGAGGGACACTGTGTAGTATACCAGTTTAGAGAGGGACACTGAAGTATACCAGCATAGGGAGTGTAGGGGGGGTTGAGTAGTGCAAACTATAGGGATGGTATGCTGGGTAGTATAAAATTATAGGGAAGGGAACCTGGGTAGTATAAAATTATAGGGATGGGAACCTGGGTAGTATAAAATTATAGGGAAGGGAACCTGGGTAGTATAAAATTATAGGGATGGGAACTTTGGTAGTATAAACATTATAGGGAAGGGATGCTGGGTAGTATAAAATTATAGGGAAGGAAACTTTGGTAGTATAAAAATTATAGGGAAGGGATGCTGGGTAGTATAAAATTATAGAGAAGGAATCTTTGGTAGTATAAAAATTATAAGGAAGGGATGCTGGGTAGTATTGAATTATAGGGAAGGAAACTTTGGTAGTATACAAATTATAGGGAAGGGATGCTGGGTAGTATTAAATTATAGGGAAGGAAACTTTGGTAGTATAAAATTATAGGGAAGGGATGCTGGGTAGTATTAAATTACAGGGAAGGGATGCTGGGTAGTATTAAATTATAGGGAAGGGATGCTGGGTAATATAAAATTATAGGTAAGGGAACCTGGGTAGTATAAAATTAAAGGGAAGAGATGCTGGGTAATATAAAATTATAGGGAAGGGATGCTGGGTAATATAAAATTATAGGGAAGGGATGCTGGGTAATATAAAATTATAGGAAAGGGAACCTGGGTAGTATACCATGGGTCACCGAATAGTATAATATACTAACCCTAGCCGCGATGCATATCTACATATTATCACATAACCAATACAATCGTGTAACACATACTATATTTACTGTGTTACATTAGTATTGTCATTTACATTATATAATGTATTAGGCAATCACTAAATCTCCAGAACATCTTAAAAGTTCTATGCACAGATTTTAATAAAGATGATTATGCATTCATGGGTCATAGACTTTTTTACGACAAAATTAAAGCATTTTTCCAGCATATTACAAGCATTATTCTCAGGTATGTTTTAAAAATTAAAATTAATCTCAACAGATTTATATTGACCAGTTCCCTGTTCATGACAAATTTATATTGATTAAAAACATTAAAAATCTGTCATCAACAAAACTTGAAGCATTACTTCAACAAAAAGAATTAATTTAATTGTCTCCAGTTTATGTTCCAACACTTTTTAATGATACACCTATTTTTGACTGCTTGTCAAGTACTGACCTTAGTTCTAGCACTTTGATTGGCTGTATGAACCATGGTATTGTTACACCTGTGTTGTTATACTATACAAACTTTATAATTTATCATCTCAACATTATAGTACCGGCATATTGACAAAAATGATGCCATGCTCCACGTACCAAAGCAAGACCTCTCATAGTCTGATAGTCTGTGTATGATGATACTGTTGGGTATTCCGTCTTTGCGTATTGCAGAGTTATCTTCTCTTGGGAGCAGGTATTGATTGTTACGTCATTGGTTTGTGCGAGAAAATTACGTCGTTTTCTCAAAAATTGATGACGTTACTCTCACAAACAAGTGACGTAACAATCAATACTTGCTCCCAAAAGAAGATAACTCTGCAATACGCAAAGACGGAATAAGGCTAGCAGTGAACTATACATATACTGGACATCACTAAGCTGCTGATACTACTCACAGAATCAGAGCTGTTGTTGTTTGACATGTAAACATTGAATATAACACTCACCCATAAGCCACCTGCCAAGCCAACCTAATAACAGAATCCTTGTCAATATATATAGACACCCTTTCAATCAGTCACTCATATCTAACAGGAGAGTTAAGTTCCTTTTAGAACATGGTAGTTTTAGTTATTGCTACGCTCATTTTAATGTTAAAAGATAAAGGTATTTCAAAACATAAATTTTATTCATGTCATTATCAGCTTGGTTTAATAGCCTTTTCTGCCGTTGTCTTTATGCTCCATTCTTCATGTTTGTCAAGGTAGCATAAAAAGAATACAAACAATATTCAGTACATAAAGATCAAGTATATCAAAAAAGCAGAGTTGCTAATATATATTTTAAAAATAAAAAAATATCTACTAAATCTACTGTATATCTTTATAAAAGTTCTTACCATTTTACCATTATCCCCCATCACTGGGTCACACACTGCAACAAAAACGTAAAACAGTTTTTATTTTACACCTACCTATATTGCAAACACTAATACATACAGCCTACCTATATCACAAGCACTAATACATACAGCCTACCTATATCACAAACACTAATACATACAGTCTACCTATAGCACAAACACTAATACATACAGCCTACCTATAGCACAAACACTAATACATACAGCCTACCTATATCACAAACACTAATACATACAGCCTACCTATAGCACAAACACTAATACATACAGCCTACCTATAGCACAAACACTAATACATACAGCCTACCTATAGCACAAACACTAATACATACAGCCTACCTATAGCACAAACACTAATACATACAGCCTACCTATAGCACAAACACTAATACATACAGCCTACCTATAGCACAAACACTAATACATACAGCCTACCTATAGCACAAACACTAATACATACAGCCTACCTATAGCACAAACACTAATACATACAGCCTACCTATAGCACAAACACTAATACATACAGCCTACCTATAGCACAAACACTAATACATACAGCCTACCTATAGCACAAACACTAATACATACAGCCTACCTATAGCACAAACACTAATACATACAGCCTACCTATAGCACAAACACTAATACATACAGCCTACCTATAGCACAAACACTAATACATACAGCCTACCTATAGCACAAACACTAATACATACAGCCTACCTATAGCACAAACACTAATACATACAGCCTACCTATAGCACAAACACTAATACATACAGCCTACCTATAGCACAAACACTAATACATACAGCCTACCTATAGCACAAACACTAATACATACAGCCTACCTATAGCACAAACACTAATACATACAGCCTACCTATAGCACAAACACTAATACATACAGCCTACCTATAGCACAAACACTAATACATACAGCCTACCTATAGCACAAACACTAATACATACAGCCTACCTATAGCACAAACACTAATACATACAGCCTACCTATAGCACAAACACTAATACATACAGCCTACCTATAGCACAAACACTAATACATACAGCCTACCTATAGCACAAACACTAATACATACAGCCTACCTATAGCACAAACACTAATACATACAGCCTACCTATAGCACAAACACTAATACATACAGCCTACCTATAGCACAAACACTAATACATACAGCCTACCTATAGCACAAACACTAATACATACAGCCTACCTATAGCACAAACACTAATACATACAGCCTACCTATAGCACAAACACTAATACATACAGCCTACCTATAGCACAAACACTAATACATACAGCCTACCTATAGCACAAACACTAATACATACAGCCTACCTATAGCACAAACACTAATACATACAGCCTACCTATAGCACAAACACTAATACATACAGCCTACCTATAGCACAAACACTAATACATACAGCCTACCTATAGCACAAACACTAATACATACAGCCTACCTATAGCACAAACACTAATACATACAGCCTACCTATAGCACAAACACTAATACATACAGCCTACCTATAGCACAAACACTAATACATACAGCCTACCTATAGCACAAACACTAATACATACAGCCTACCTATAGCACAAACACTAATACATACAGCCTACCTATAGCACAAACACTAATACATACAGCCTACCTATAGCACAAACACTAATACATACAGCCTACCTATAGCACAAACACTAATACATACAGCCTACCTATAGCACAAACACTAATACATACAGCCTACCTATAGCACAAACACTAATACATACAGCCTACCTATAGCACAAACACTAATACATACAGCCTACCTATAGCACAAACACTAATACATACAGCCTACCTATAGCACAAACACTAATACATACAGCCTACCTATAGCACAAACACTAATACATACAGCCTACCTATAGCACAAACACTAATACATACAGCCTACCTATAGCACAAACACTAATACATACAGCCTACCTATAGCACAAACACTAATACATACAGCCTACCTATAGCACAAACACTAATACATACAGCCTACCTATAGCACAAACACTAATACATACAGCCTACCTATAGCACAAACACTAATACATACAGCCTACCTATAGCACAAACACTAATACATACAGCCTACCTATAGCACAAACACTAATACATACAGCCTACCTATAGCACAAACACTAATACATACAGCCTACCTATAGCACAAACACTAATACATACAGCCTACCTATAGCACAAACACTAATACATACAGCCTACCTATAGCACAAACACTAATACATACAGCCTACCTATAGCACAAACACTAATACATACAGCCTACCTATAGCACAAACACTAATACATACAGCCTACCTATAGCACAAACACTAATACATACAGCCTACCTATAGCACAAACACTAATACATACAGCCTACCTATAGCACAAACACTAATACATACAGCCTACCTATAGCACAAACACTAATACATACAGCCTACCTATAGCACAAACACTAATACATACAGCCTACCTATAGCACAAACACTAATACATACAGCCTACCTATAGCACAAACACTAATACATACAGCCTACCTATAGCACAAACACTAATACATACAGCCTACCTATAGCACAAACACTAATACATACAGCCTACCTATAGCACAAACACTAATACATACAGCCTACCTATAGCACAAACACTAATACATACAGCCTACCTATAGCACAAACACTAATACATACAGCCTACCTATAGCACAAACACTAATACATACAGCCTACCTATAGCACAAACACTAATACATACAGCCTACCTATAGCACAAACACTAATACATACAGCCTACCTATAGCACAAACACTAATACATACAGCCTACCTATAGCACAAACACTAATACATACAGCCTACCTATAGCACAAACACTAATACATACAGCCTACCTATAGCACAAACACTAATACATACAGCCTACCTATAGCACAAACACTAATACATACAGCCTACCTATAGCACAGACACTAATACATACAGCCTACCTATAGCACAAACACTAATACATACAGCCTACCTATAGCACAAACACTAATACATACCACAGACACTAATACATACAGCCTACCTATAGCACAAACACTAATGCATACAGCCTACCTATAGCACAGACACTAATACATACAGCCTACCTATAGCACAAATACTAATGCATACAGCCTACCTATATCTCAAACACTAGTAAATACAGCCAACATGGTGATAATTGTCAAGATGCTAAATATTGCAAAAATATAAAATGAGTTCACAATCTATAGTTCAACAGTTCACTGCTGTGAATGTATTGTAGATACTGAGTTACTGTTTATCGAGTTACTGTGTTGAGCAACTGAATATGATCTTTCATTGAATCAATGTATATAGGTCACAATATATTAAATCAATCTAGATATTGAGTCAACATAGATGTTGAGTCAACATAGATGTTGAGTCAATGTAATCTGTATTGAGTCAAAGTAGATATTGAGTCAACATAGACGTTGAGTCAATGTAATATATATTGAGTCAACATAGATTTTGAATCAGTGTAATCTATATTGAGTCAACATTGATGATGAGTCAATGTAATCTTTATTGAGTCAAAGAAGATATTGAGTCAACATGGATATTGAGTCAATGTAATATATATTGAGTCAACATATATGTTGAATCAGTGTAATCTATATTGAGTCAACATTGATGATGAGTCAATGTAATCTATATTGAGTCAAAGTAGATATTGAGTCAATGTAATCGTTTTTGAGTCAAAGTAGATATTGAGTCAACATAGATATTGAGTCAATGTAATATATGTTGAGTCAAAGTAGATATTGAGTCAACATAGATGTTGAATCAGTGTAATCTATATTGGGTCAACATAGATGTTGAATTAGTGTAATCTATATTGAGTCAAAGAAGATATTGAGTCAATGTAATCGTTATTCAGCCAAAGTAGATATTGAGTCAATGTAATCTATCTTGAGTCAAAGTAAATAGTGAGTCAACATCAGAGTCAAAGTAGATATTGAGTCAACATTGATGATGAGTCAATGTAATCTATATTGAGTCAAAGTAGATACTGAGTCAACGTATATGTTGAGTCAATGTAATCTATATTGAGTCAAAGTAGATATTGTGTCAACATAGATGTTGAGTCAGTGTAATCTATATTGAGTCAACATAGATGTTGAGTCAATGTAATCTATATTGAGTCAAAGTAGATATTGAATTAACATAGATGTTGAGTCAATATTATGTAGATATTGTTGTATCATAAATCTGAAAGTGGAGATCTGGTATCATATAATATGTCATTGGATACACATTTAAATTGAGGTTTGGTTTCATATTGAAAAATGCCTCCTGATACACACTTAAATCAATCATATTACCATATGTCAGATTAGGATTTTGTTTTCGTAGATTTTGGATGATCTCTCCGACCTTCTCCAGGAATGATTTTGACCCTATGTACCCTGAAATACATACATATATAACACAATAATGTTGATAAATAAGTACTAATTGTAATGAACCTACATATGAAAGTTGAGCAAAATCAACCAATATTTAATTTCGACCAATCAGAGGCTGTGGTGAAAAATAATAAGAAGAAGAAGAAATGGAGTAATACCGATTAGTCCCCCACTTCGTTTGGAGGACTTAATAAGAAACGGAGCAAACACAATATGTCCCCCTACTCCGTTAGGGGAACATAATTACATATGTAATTAAATAGATCACTTTCCCCAAAGTGTCTAAGCCAGGAGGCGAACTTTGTACTAGGGCAGTGCAGGGAAGGCCCTACAGGAGCAGAGTATAGATTACAATGTACTAGCTATAAAGTGCAGTGCTCCACCTATTAAGTCAAGGATGTGCTCTTCTGAAGTTTAAATTACATTCAAGTCTCGTTTTTAAAAGCAAACATGCATCTAAAAATTAGTGAAAAAAACTAGATACACAGTGACCCTCGCAACCCCCACCTCCCCAATTATTTTTTACTGTTTTAAGAGAAATACATTTTCTTACAATTCGATGAATATTAAGAAAAGCTAGTCTTCAGAACTTTTATATCAATCTTTAAATTTAATCGTTGTAATTTTTCTGTGAAATTTATCATTTTCAAACAGAACAATCTCATACAATATTGAAATGTATTGAAAGACTTTGTTATTACCTGTCAATAGTAGACCTGTTATTACCTGTCAATAGTAGACCTGTTATTACCTGTCAATAGTAGACCTGTTATTACTTATCAATAGTAGACCTGTTATTACCTGTCAATTGTAGACCTGTTATTACCTGTCAATAGTAGACCAGTTATTACCTGAGTAAGACCTGTTATTACCTGTCAATAGTAGACCTGTTATTACCTGCCAATAGTAGATCTGATATTACCTGTCAATAGTAGAGCTGTTATTACCTGTCAATAGTAGATATGTTATTTCTTGTCAATAGTAGATATGTTATTCCCTGCCAATAGTAGATCTGATGTTACCGGTCAATAATAGACTTGTTATTACCTGTCAATAGTAGATCTGATATTTCCTGTCAAAAGTAGACCTGTTATTTCTTGTTAATAGTAGATATGTTATTACCTGTCAATAGAAGACTTGTTATTACCTGTCAATAGTAGATCTGATATTTCCTGTCAAAAGTAGACCTGTTATTTCTTGTTAATAGTAGATATGTTATTACCTGTCAATAGAAGACTTGTTATTACCTGTCAATAGTAGATCTGATATTACCTGTCAATAGTAGAGCTGTTATTACCTGTCAATAGTAGATATGTTATTACCTGTCAATAGAAGACTTGTTATTACCTGTCAATAGTAGATCTGATATTTCCTGTCAAAAGTAGACCTGTTATTTCTTGTTAATAGTAGATATGTTATTACCTGTCAATAGAAGACTTGTTATTACCTGTCAATAGTAGATCTGATATTTCCTGTCAATAGTAGACCTGTTATTACCTGCCAATAGTAGATCTGATATAACCTGTCAATAGTAGACCTGTTATTACCTGGGTAAGACCTGTTATTACCTGTCAATAGTAGACTTGTTATTACCTGTCAATAGTAGATCTGATATTACCTGTCAATAGTAGAGCTGTTATTACCTGTCAATAGTAGATATGTTATTTCTTGTCAATAGTAGATATTTTATTACCTGCCAATAGTAGATCTGATGTTACCTGTCAATAATAGACTTGTTATTACCTGTTAATAGTAGATCTGATATTACCTGTCAATAGTTGACCTGTTATTACCTGTCAATAGTAGATATGTTATCACCTGTCAATAATAGACTTGTTATTACCTGTCAATAGTAGACTTGTTATTACCTGTCAATAGTAGACTTGTTATTACCTGCCAATAGTAGATCTAATATTACCTGTCAATAGTAGATATGTTATTACCTGTCAATAGTAGACTTGTTATTACCTGTCAATAGTAGATCTGATATTTCCTGTCAATAGTAGACCTGTTATTACCTGGGTAAGACCTGTTATTACCTGTCAATAGTAGACTTGTTATTACCTGTCAATAGTAGACTTGTTATTACCTGTCAATAGTAGATCTGATATTACCTGTCAATAGTAAACCTGTTATTACCTGTCAATAGTAGACCTGCTATTACCTGTCAATAGTAGACCTGTTATTACTTATCAATAGTAGACCTGTTATTACCTGTCAATAGCAGATATGTTATTACCTGTCAATAATAGACTTGGTATTACCTGTCAATAGCAGATCTAATATTACCTGTCAATAGTAGATATGTTATTTCTTGTCAATAGTAGATATGTTATTACCTGCCAATAGTAGATCTGATGTTACCTGTCAATAATAGACTTGTTATTACCTGTCAATAGTAGATCTGATTTTACCTGTCAATAGTAGACCTGTTATTACTTGTCAATAGTAGATATGTTATTGCCTGTCAATAGTAGACCTGTTATTACCTGTCAATAGTAGATATGTTTTTACCTGTCAATAATAGACTTGTTATTACCTGTTAATAGTAGATCTGATATTACCTGTCAATAGTAGATATGATATTACCTGTCACTAGTAGACCTGTTATTACTTGTCAATAGTAGATATGTTATTAACTGTCAATAGTAGACTTGTTATTACCTGTCAATAGTAGATCTGATATTACCTGTCAATAGTAGATATGATATTACCTGTCACTAGTAGACCTGTTATTACTTGCCAATAGTAGATCTAATATTATCTGTCAATAGTACACCTGTTATTACCTGTCAATAGTAGATATGTTATTACCTGTCAATAGTAGACTTGTTATTACCTGTCAATAGTAGATCTGATATTACCTGTCAATAGTAGATCTGATATTACCTGCCAATAGTAGACCTGTTATTACCTGTCAATAATAGACCTGTTATTACCTGTGAGTAGACCTGTTATCACCTGTCAATAATAGACCTGTTATTACCTGTCAATAGTACACCTGTTATTACCTGTTAGTAGATGTGTAAAGTGATGAATGTTGTTGCACTTGAGTCCATCATATAAATCATCCATATCAGCAGCATTCAACACCTGACCCTTAAACACTTTATAACCTTTTGGTAATAAAGAGAAACATGGTATTATTTCTGAACAAAATAACAGTTAGTATTTTGCAATTTTTTCATTAGAATATTATGAAAGAATTTAATTGCAATACATTTATATCTAAAAAAAAAAAAAAAAGGAAAGGAAACTGTTGAAACCATCTTTATCATATTAGATGTTTTATAAACTGATGTTTTACACGCATAAATTAATGCCAAATTAATGTAACAAACTTACCTGTATGATTGGAGAACTGTACAGAATTTACTGTGCTCACATCAAATCCCAGAACCTGGTTAAACACAAAATTTAACATGTCAAACTTTATATCTTTATAATTATCTTTATTTAACGTCTTGTACAATTGTCAACAACAAACATAAGCTCTGTAGAGCTTTTATTACGCCGCCGCTAAGGGAACAAATGATGTTTTTGCGGTGGAGAAAAACCCACGGGGAGAAACCACCGTGCCATTGAAGGGATAACAACTAACCTTATCAGACATCACTCTCATTTTCTGCCACCACTATGCCATTATACGTGCTATTGTAGCGGAAATAGACTGGGTCAATTGCCGACAGCCAAGTAGCTCAATTTGTTGAGCATCAGTCTAGAGTTTAGAGGGTCTCGGTTCAAATCTCGGCAATGCATTTCGTCTCCTGTTACATTTAACGCCCAATGAAATATATCTGTGGAAGGTGGTCCACTATTTATCTTGTGTCTTTGAGGTCGAAAACTTTGTTAAAGGAGGGAGGATTATGCAGCAGAACTGGATCTATAATATCTATCTATATGTTATGTAGTTGGACGAGGAATATTGTTAAAGAATACCTGCCACCCTTGGCTCTCTAGCCCGATGCTCTACCACTGAGCTAAAGGGAAATCCCTACAGCTGGCGCTTGCAAGGCAACCTAATCAATGCACTTCTTTTACACTATTCCCCCCTTTTTTAATCACCAACCCAGGTTCTTTGACTCCCCGCCAAAGGTTCTCCTTCTTTGAACGGGGCGAGGGTCAACGCCACCAGTTTGTAGTAGGATGAGGAAAAGTGATAAAGATAGCGCCGTTGCGGTGGCTCGAACCCGCGACCCTTGGCTCTCCAGCCCGATGCTCTACTGCTGAGCTAAAGGGAAATTCCCTACAGCTGACACTTGTAAGGCAACCTAATTAATGCACTTCTTTTACAGTTATACTCCACAGAGACCAAAATGGCTTTAACCATGGATTGGATTGGTTGTTGCTAAGTCGGTAATAGCTCTGGAAGTCAATGTTGTCTGTTTTTATGTAAACAATGTAAAATATGTATTCTTGTATCTGTATCCTGTAACTTGTATATATATAACTTGTATATAACTGCATGGCAACCAGAGGTAGCTCAATTAGTAAAAACTCAGACTAGAGTTCAGAGGGTCCTAGGTTCGAATCTCAGTCTGCCCGTGCTTTTTTTCTCTCCTGTTACACTACAGTAGCGACTACCATATATTGTATCTCAGCTATATACATGCAAATGTTTCTACACGGACGTGCTTCCTCATAGTTAAGACGTTTGTTAAGCCTACTTTACATAATAAAACACAGTGTTAAAATAGGTACGTCGTACTGACACATGTTGTGTATACAATATAAACCTAGACTACGGATTTTACTTGTTAGCGATTGCTCTGGCATCAATTTGGTCAGTTGGTAAACAAAGTGATATGTCAGTGAAGGTGACCGTGGGAAACTCATGTTTGTGGCTGTACCGGTCAGCCGAATAACTCCTCACCTGGAGAGGAAAGGTGGCACTCTTATTGCCAACATATCCGGAGACGACTGAGCTCTGGATAGACAGGACACGACAATCATCAGTGGAAGCCATTGTCACAAGGCATGTGTGTTCGTGAAATCGTAAAACGTGCTGAGGTCATACACCGTGTACTTCCGGGTCAGCCGGGATACGAGTAGGCGTGGTTGTTGACCTTTGCCGCATCTATCCATGCTTACTGTAGCAGTACCCGGATATAGGTGCAGACAGGTTGACAGGTGGTGTACATGTATCAACTATCTTTGACGTGTTTAGGTAAGTGAAGACACACTGACATCCTCAGAGTTGTTGTTGCTTAATCGACTTCTTTAAATAACGATCAGTATATGAATGTATAGTGTGACCTCTTTGGGTACACATTACATAACATTATTTCTATATATTGTGTGTGTGTGCTTTGCTCGTTAGGAGATAGAAATGACATGCCAACTTTTAACAGATGCGTAGCTTCCACGTAAGCAAATACGCAGTTGCATGCACAACAAAAATTCAAATGTACTAAAAAAAATTAAAAAAAATATCGGTAGTCTGGAATAGTGATTAAATTTGATGTGTGGTTCAATTGAAAAATATGAGATACCTGGTGCCGATTTTATTTTTAAAGTTGTCAACATCGGAAACATCATACATGTCGATACGTATACTCTTTTTCATAAATTAATATATGTTATTAAATTTAATATCTTATAAAAACTACTCTAAAAAATATCTCACGTCATAATATACGTAAAATAACTAATAGGATAATTAAAAACGTCCTATTTTAGGTTCCGACACAAACAACAGTAATAAAGCAAATTGATTTTTTTTTTAATAAAAACGTCTTGCATATTATCTCTTATGCAAGTTTCTTTGCAATGTGTATATCGTCTTTTATTAATTGAAAATATATTTTATGCTATTATATAATGAGTTATCTCTCGGCAACCCCATTGGCCGGGTCCTTTACAAGTGACCTAAAATAATATTGCCATTTGATTTCTAAATATAGCCATTTGGGAGAATCCCGTGAATAAACAAGTGTTTGATAAATAGATATTTTTATCTTAACATTCAATGTGATTTAATAGGAAAAAAGACGGACGTGGACAGATATCTGCTTCTAGATCTATATCCATATCAATGATACAATACATATATATACCTATATTACATTTACATTCAATGCTAACATGCATGTAAAAACTTTTTAAAAAAATGCCGTGTGATCATATTTCGTATCTATGGTTTTTTTTCCATTGTTCAGACCTGGAATTCTTTAATAGTAGTTGAGTCTATAACTCTCTGTTGGAAGCTGTTCAATATTTTTACTGACCTGAAGTTGAAAGTGAATATTAAATATTTTTAATGTTAAGCATGATATTGTCCTAATTAACCAAGCTGCACGATAGAGAACCATATAAATATAAGAACCATTAGTTTATTTTTTCATTAGTTATTATTTGAGCATGTCAAAAAACAGTTATTAACTTTTATGGTGGTACTCTTCATTTCACATTGTATTAACCATCACAAAAATAGTCCATAATTGTATAAAGTACACGAATCAACTTTTGCAATCAAACATTAATCCTCTCGACAGTGGAAAATGCATAGTAATTAAAACAATGCGGCGCTAGATTTCAGACAGAGCTAATTGTTTAAAGATGTACTATTAAAACGTATCGCAAATGGATCGATATTGATGAACAATTTGTTCTGTGAACCTTTTGTGACCATTTATATTGACCCTTGGTAAATTTTTATAAGATGTAAAACTGAGAAGTTTGACCTGTGAACTTTGGTGACATATATCTCGGCCTTTGATGTACTTCATATTGTCGCAAGATGTGCTAATAATAGTATCTATAAATCAATGGTTACTGGACCCATCGGTTTATTTAAGGCTTCTTGTTTTAGAAGGAACTGATATAAAATTCAGGCTTAACTTATCGTGTTGCATTTTCTGCTGCAAATAATACCAAGGCATCTTGTATGTAGCCAGAGACTGTTGTAATATGGTATATGGCTCTGTAGAAGTGGCATTTAAAATTAATGTAATCTGTTTAAGTTGGATGACTATTTAATTTTAGTCTCCATACATCCTCGATAACATAAGATACAGTGTTGTCCAGGTATTCCTAAATATACCAGGTACATGGTTACTTAAGTATGCGAGGCGATGACCCTGAAGCGAGTCAGACTTTAGACCAGTCATTATCTCAGTTAACATGTGATCATTGGATACAGTTAGCACACCCTTTAGGACCTCGGCTTCTTCTTTTTCTTCTTCTTCTTCTTCTTCTTCTTCATTCCGAATGGAGTGAACTCACTGTAGAGTGTAAAAAAGGGTTTGATTTGATTTATAAAATAACCGCAGGATGTAAGTCTTATCCAATTCAGGATTCAAAGAAATTAAACAGAAAAGCTCGATGATCGCACATTATTTTTCTTAAAATTGTTCAAATTAACCCGATACACCGGACATTATTGCGGCACACCTTTAAGATGAGGGGCACCACTTACCTCATCAGGCGTGATCACGAATAATAAGCCAATTGCTGTTTGCTGCTGTCCGTCTGTCCAATGTAATACCGCTACCGTTACATTTTCCGCTGCCAGTTCGTTTTGATTGACCTCTGTGGTGTTTATAAAGGTTTTATTATAAACTCTGGTATCTTTTGTGAAGCACTGAAATTGTGCAGAATATCACCCTTGAAGTTTTAAATCGCTCTGAGTTTACAGCCTATTCAAGTATTGCTATGATTTTGACCTCTGACCCCATTTATGCGACTTGTACTTATTCCATGTCATGTACAACATGTATTTCGGTTATAATCATTCATGCCTTAATTCATTGTAGTATAACTGAAGAACGATGCCTAGACGATTTGAAGGGAAGATTGTTTTACTGTCCGCCGCGGCACAAGGAATAGGACGCGCGACGGCCTTGGTTGGTATAGCACTTACAGGACATACAGTCATCAAACAGGGTATAAGACGGGTCTTACAGAGCATATTAGGTATGATAGGATAATGCAGGTTGTAAATGACATAAAATGGACTGTTCATACCATGTAAAGTGCCGAGGCCGTGCAAGCGAGAGGCCATATAGGGCGAGTGATGACTAATAGAATCTATCGCTACTGGTTGTGGAAGATAGAGACATCTCAACCCGAGGACTAAGATTTTTTGTCCAGAACGAGGCTTGCCGAGTTCTGGACAAAAAATCTTAGTCCGAGGGTTGAGATGTCTCTATCTTACACAACCAGTAGCGATTGATTATTTTTCTCCCATATCTAACAGTATTTTAATGTGAAATAAAGGTAAACATGGACCCAAAACACATACAGGCAATTCGTTGACGTGACGTCATTGTATTGTTGAAGTGACGTCATGCCATTGTTATGAATAGGGGAATCCCCCCGTCTCAACCCTAGGGCGGAGACAGATAAATCTAGCACCGGCAAAACGGGAGATAAATCTGTCAGGTGTGGGAGAAATTGAGATATAGAGGTCTAAGAGGGTATATGACCAGTCATGATTTCTGTAGATGGAGACCTTACGGACCAAACCAGTCACTGCCGTAGTAGGTAGTGAGTGTACAGAACAGAACATAATATCTAAGTACTTGACGTGAGCCTTGAAGGTCAAGGTTCATAAAAGGCATTGGAAGGATTTATTTCTATTATAGGTGTTAGTCAACCACATTATTGGATGCTGTGTACAGCATTCATAGCGGTCCTCTCGCAAAGCCTGGGCAAATCAAAACCAAACAACAGACTTTCTTCTCCCGCGGAAGATCTTTAAATGCTGTGTTGATTATTTCATGGTATGATTAATGGTGTAAAATATTGAAATACAGATGAAAACGATCAAGAAGTCAAAGACAAACTGTAAAAAAAAAAAAATACGAAAAGGCGAGTTTTTTCAGTGAGCATCATTAATTATATCAATCTCAGATTATTACGCTTTTTGGACCGAATAATTTCTTCAAAAAAAACCACCAACACTTTATCTCCTTCCGCGAAAGATCTTTAGATAATGCGTTCATTATTTCATGATATGATCGATGCTATAATATGGTAAAATATATCTGTATAAGACTGAATGGAAAGTCTCCAAGTGAAAGAGAATATTGACTATACTAAAGTAGCCGTCAGCAGCTGTGCCTAACGAGTTTATAGATAGCTTCCCAATGCGACAGCAGCTGTGCCTAACAAGCTTGTAGATAGCTTCCCAATACAGTCTCTAGATAATGGCCCGATTAGTATAATACAAGTGCTTCGTGAATATAGCATATTGAACATCAAAAGTTAAAACCGTACATACATATTATTTACATTAACCAGAAACTGAATAATTATATAGGTTTTTAACCTTCGTTACAATATCGAGAGAAGGAGGGATACACAAGGGACTTGCATAAGTCCGTGATTACACGCACTGGAAATAATACAATCTCGTTTTAATCATTTGTATAATTAATCATGATAATAACAAATTGTAATACTAATATCATAATTATTTATTTATAGTATATACATAACATTAATTTATTTAATTTTGTATTTAAGCGTAAACTTTCCGATAATCTTACGGGGCACTTTTGGTTTGCAGGGTTGTCTGGTCAAGGTCACTGTTACTAATTTTAAAAAGATCATTGTCTGCGCTGTAGCAGCTTCATTCCTTGAAGGATTTCCATCGATTTGAAACACTAATTAAGGACCATAATATCAGACAAGTTTCAATTTCAGTGCTGTTGGGTCAAGGCCATTGTTACTTATGTCTATACTACTAATGGTAGCAAGTAAGGGACCTTATATTGTTTAGCAATACTCTGCTTGTTATATATATTTTTATTGAAAAATATGATTAAGGGATGGGCTTTTATGACCCTTACTCAACAACATGTTCTTTATTATTTACTGCCATTCTGTACTGATATACCACCTCCTTTATTCCAATATTTGAATCCTTCATACACAGCATCCCTGAGTGCCCTCGGCACTTTGATATCAGTAAGTTATGGATATTTTCGGCAGGATTGGAATATGTTGTCGAATCACATAACATATCGAAATTTATATTTATCCAAGCAAATAAGTAATTGTAAAATATTGAGTTATTTTTGTTACTATAACCCTGACCTGTTGTAAGTAATAGTAAAATATTCATATATTTTTGTTACTACGAACCTGATCTGTTGTAAGTAATGGTAAAATATTCAGTAATTTTTGTTACTATGACCCTGATCTGTTGTAAGTAATAGTAAAATATTGAGTTGTTTTTGTTACTATGACCCTGATCTGTTGTAAGTAATGGTAAAATATTCAGTAATTTTGTAACTATGACCCTGATCTGTTGTAAGTAATAGTAAAATATTGAGTTGTTTTTGGTACTATGACCCTGATCTGTTGTAAGTAATAGTAAAGTATTGAGTTGTTTTTGTTACTATGGCCCTGATCTGTTGTAAGTAATGTTAAAATATTCAGTAATTTTGTAACTACGGCCCTGATTTGTTGTAAGTAATGGAAAAATATTCAGTAATTTTGTAACCCCGACCATGATCTGTTGTAAGTAATGGTAAACTATTCAGTAATTTTGTAACTACGACCATGATCTGTCGTAAGTAATGGTAAAAAATTCATTTATTTTTGTTACTACGACCCTGATCTGTTGTAAGGAATGGTAAAATATTCAGTAATTTTTGTTACTATAACCCTGATCTGTTGTAAGTAATAGTAAACTATTGAGTTGTTTTTGTTACTATGGCCCTGATCTGTTGTAAGTAATGTTAAAATATTCAGTAATTTTGTAAATATGACCCTGGTCTGTTGTAAGTAATGGTAAAATTTTCAGTAATTTTGTAACTACGACCATGCTCTGTTGTAAGTAATGGTAAAATAGTCAGTAATTTTGTAACTACGACCCTGACCTGTTGTAAGTAATGGTAAAATATTAAGTAATTTTGTAACTACGACCCTGACCTGTTGTAAGTAATGGTAAAATAATCAGTAATTTTGTAACTCCGACCCTGATCTGTTGTAAGTAATAGTAAAGTATTGAGTTGTTTTTGTTACTATGACCCTGATCTGTTCTAAGTAATGGTAAAATATTCAGTAATCTTGTAACTACGACCCTGATTTGTTGCAAGTAATGGTAAAATATTCAGTAATCTTGTAACTACGACCATGATCTGTTGTACGTAATGGTAAAATATTCAGTAATCTTGTAACTACGACCCTGATTTGTTGTAATTAATGGTAAAATATTCAGTAATTCTGTAACTACGACCCTGATCTGTTGTAAGGAATGGTAAAATATTCAGTAATTTTTGTTACTATAACCCTGATCTGTTGTAAGTAATAGTAAAATATTCATATATTTTTGTTACTACGAACTTGATCTGTTGTAAGTAATGGTAAACTATTCAGTAATTTTGTAACTACGACTCTGATCTGTTGTAAGTAATGGTACAATATTCAGTAATTTTGTAACTACGCCCCTGATTTGTTGTAAGTAATGGTAAAATATCCAGTAATTTTGTAACTACGACCCTGATTCGTTGTAAGTAATGGTAAAATATTAAGTAATTTTGTAACTACGACCCTGAGCTGTTGTAAGTAATGGTAAAATAGTCAGTAATTTTGTAACTACGACCATGATCTGTCGTAAGTAATGGTAAAAAATTCATTTATTTTTGTTACTACGAACCTGATCTGTTGTAAGTAATGGTACAATATTCAGTAATTTTGTAACTACGACTCTGATCTGTTGTAAGTAATGGTACAATATTCAGTAATTTTGTAACTACGAGCCTGATCTGTTGTAAGTAACGGTAAAATATTCAGTAATTTTGTATCTACGACCCTGATTTGTTGTAAGTAATTGTAAAATATTCATTTATTTTTGTTACTACGAACCTAATCTGTTGTAAGTAATGGTAAAATTTTCAGTAATTTTGTAACTACGACTCTGATCTGTTGTAAGTAATGGTAGAATATTCAGTAATTTTGTAACTACGAGCCTGATCTGTTGTAAGTAACGGTAAAATATTCAGTAATTTTGTGACTACGACCCTTATCTGTTGTAAGTAATGGTAAAATAGTCAGTAATTTTGTAACTACGACCATGATCTGTCGTAAGTAATGGTAAAAAATTCATTTATTTTTGTTACTACGACCCTGATCTGTTGTAAGGAATGGTAAAATATTCAGTAATTTTATAACTACGACCCTGATCTGTTGTAGGTAATGGTAAAATATTCAGTAATTTTCTAACTACGACCCTGTTTTGTTGTAAGTAATGGTAAAATATCCAGTAATTTTGTAACTACGACCCTGAGCTGTTGTAAGTAATGGTAAAATATCCAGTAATTTTGTAACTACGACCCCGATCTGTTGTAAGTAATGGTAAACTATTCAGTAATTTTGTAACTACGGCCCTGATTTGTTGTAAGTAATGGTAACATATTCAGTAATTTTGTAACTACGGCCCTGATCCGTTGTAAGTAATGGTAAAATATTAAGTAATTTTGTAACTACGACCCTGAGCTGTTGTAAGTAATGGTAAAATAGTCAGTAATTTTGTAACTACGACCATGATCTGTTGTACGTAATGGTAAAATATTCAGTAATTTTGTATCTACGACCCTGATTTGTTGTAAGTAATTGTAAAATATTCAGTAATTTTGTATCTACGACCCTGATTTGTTGTAAGTAATTGTAAAATATTCAGTAATTTTGTATCTACGACCCTGATTTGTTGTAAGTAATTGTAAAATATTCAGTAATTTTGTATCTACGACCCTGATTTGTTGTAAGTAATGCTAAAATATTCAGTAATTTTGTAACGATTACCCTGATCTGTTGTAAGTAATTGTAAAATATTCAGTAATTTTGTAACTACGACCCTGATCTGTTGTGTCCGACAGTCCTTTGCCGAGGAAGGCGCGACTGTTATAGCCACTGACATCAATGGAGAAAAGCTGACCGAACTGTCAGGAACTAAAGGTATATAATGGATGTACAATATCTAAAGCTGGGGCTTAATTAATATTTACATCAGTATCAATAAGGACAGCACGTGTTTCGTTTTAAAATGCACATAGTCTCGAATATAGAGTATCCACATGCTTGATAATGATCCATAATGGAATATTTCAAAATTCAAAACTGTGTAAATGTATCAACATTTGGAATTTATTTATTTTAATTACATGTATCCTGTAAGTTGGTTGAATAAATAAAAGTGGTCTTACAGGAACGTGTAAGCAGTATCCAACGTAGCAACTATGAACTAAAAAGACTGTCCTCGGTGTGGAAAGAGATGAACACATTTTCATAGTCGGGGAATGATGTTTTCTGTCTTCTTTCAAAGTGTAAACAAATTTCTAATAAGTTTTCCTTTCTTTAATTATTTTAATAAAGCTTGTTTACTCTTATAAAGATAGGTTTGTTTCTTTATCTGCTCCCTTTAGGAAAGTATAGACACTTAACCATCTTACCTTTTTTTCAAGTCTCGTGAACATTGCTACCCGACCTTACATGCCGAGACTGCGAGTGTTGGCGTTACGGATATGGTCGGACAGTATAGTCGGATAGCTAGTTTTCTAAGGAGCACCTGTTCTAGTCTATCTCGTGTGTTATACAGGTATCCAGACACACGTGCTCGACGTCACAGATTCTGCGGCAGTCGACAGCTTCCTAGAGACACTAGACAGAGTGGACGTGCTTTTTAACTGTGCAGGGTAAGCTTTAGTATTATTTAGTATTTTGTTTTCCAATTCCATTGATTGTCGATTTCTAATTGTTGTCATTGTTGACTTTGCAAGATATGCAGAATATGATTTCTACAATGGTGTTCATGTTTCTATCTTTGTTCCTTGGTGGTAAGTTCAACGAGGTAACACATTTGTTAAATGCCTGTACATCATGTGATTTTCGTCTGCTCTAGATTTGTAAACTATGGTTCTATCATCGTCTGATCTAGGTTGGTAAACCGTGGTTCTATCATCGTCTGCTCTAGGTTTGTAAACCGTGATTCTATCATCGTCTGCTCTAGGTTTGTAAACCGTGGTTCTATCATCGTCTGCTCTAGGTTTGTAAACCGTGGTTCTATCGTCGTCTGCTCTAGGTTTGTAAACCGTGATTCTATCATCGTCTACTCTAGGTTTGTAAACTATGGTTCTATCGTCGTCTGCTCTAGGTTTGTAAACCGTGGTTCTATCATCGTCTGCTCTAGGTTTGTAAACCATGGTTCTATCATCGTCTGCTCTAGGTTTGGAAACCGTGGTTTTATCATCGTCTGCTCTAGGTTTGTAAACCATGGTTATATCATCGTCTGCTCTAGGTTTGTAAACCGTTATTCTATCATCGTCTACTCTAGGTTTGTAAACTATGGTTCTAGCGTCGTCTGCTCTAGGTTTGTAAACCGTTATTCTATCATCGTCTACTCTAGGTTTGTAAACTATGGTTCTAGCGTCGTCTGCTCTAGGTTTGTAAACCGTGATTCTATCATCGTCTGCTCTAGGTTTGTAAACCATGTTTCTATCGTCGTCTGCTCTAGGTTTGTAAACCGTGATTCTATCATCGGCTGCTCTAGGTTTGTAAACCGTGGTTCTATTATCGTCTGCTCTAGGTTTGTAAACCGTGGTTTTATCGTCGTCTGCTCTAGGTTTGTAAACCGTGGTTCTATCGTCGTCTGCTCTAGGTTTGTAAACCATGGTTATATCATCGTCTGCTGTACTCTCGTACACCCATGCTACATGCACTTTCTTTCTTTGTTGTCGATTTGTTAATTTTGGCCCTGTCTTTTTTGTGGTAGCTTTAGGTTTGTGTTGTAGGTTTGTACATCATGGTACCATCCTGGACGTAGAAGAGAAGGACTGGGATTTCAGCTTTGACCTGAACGTGAAGAGTATGTACCGGACCTGTCGACGTGTAATTCCAAAGGTTGGTGTTCCCTAAAGCTGGTCATTCTGAATGATTGTATCACTAGTTCTTTGGATGGTCATATTCGATTGCTACTAGCTGCAATGTAGATATATCTAATCTTCTTCAAGGGTAACATCTCTGAATACTTGTATATTTGTCCCTCTCGAACGTTTGTGCAAGTTTTCTCTTTCTCGTGTTAGCTTCACCGACTTCTGTTTTATCTTGGTGTGCAATGTCGGTATATCTGATTCATCAGAAGTTTTGTATTTCTTGCTCTCTCCTATATGGTTGGCATCTCAAGTTCCTTCAAAGGTTTTCACCTATGAATATCCCAGAATGTATTCATTTCTGACATTTTTGATAACTGATATATCTGACACTCTTGGAAATTGGTGCAAAAGAGCACCTTCTTCATGTGGCCTCAAAGGTAGGCTTGTATATACTCATGGTTCACGAAAAGTTGTTATGTCAAGGGGGTCTCAAATGTTATACACTGTATCTGGTTCACCAAACTCTACGGGTTGTTTCTCCCGAGGTTGGCCTTTTTGTTACTCCTGAGGTTGGCCTTTTTGTTACTCCTGAGGTTGCCTTTTTGTTACTCCCGAGGTTGGCCTTTTTGTTACTCCTGAGGTTGGCCTTTTTGTTACTCCCGAGGTTGGCCTTTCTGTTTCTCCTGAGGTTGGCCTTTTTGTTACTCCCTAAGTTTGCCTTCCTGTTACTCCCGAGGTTGGCCTTTCTGTTTTTTTCCCGAGGTTGGCCTTTCTGTTTCTCCCGAGGTTGGCCTTTCTGTTTTTCCCGAGGTTGGCCTTTCTGTTTCTCCCGAGGTTGGCCTTTCTGTTTCTCCCGAGGTTGGCCTTTCTGTTTTTCCCGAGGTTGGCCTTTCTGTTTCTCCCGAGGTTGGCCTTTTTGTTTCTTCCGAGGTTGGAATTTCTGTTTCTTTTGTTAGTTTTGCGTTACTGATGATTCAGATACAGACATAATATTATAATGCGTGCCATGTTTCAGATGCTCAAACATGGAGGAGGTGTCATCATCAATATGTCGTCTGTGGCATCCAGCATCGTCGGTAAATCAGTTTTACTTCTGATTGGAAATGAATCAAACAATGTATCAAATATTTATCTTTAAACCAAAATTTCTATTTGTAATCCAACTTTTTCTGACGTCTTTGTGCAATACCTGCCTAATATTTCTGAAATGGTACTATTTTTATTAATAATTTGTAATAAAAAAAATCTGACATGTCTATTTGCAATATGATTTGAATACGTGTGTATAACATCAGTATATATTTCAATATAAATATTAATTAACGCAAATATCATCTAGCGTTATACTGATCGCTTAACATCCGAATGCCCAGAAGGGTTGTTGAAGATTAGACCTACTTTTATATTTCGCATATATTACCACAATTACAGGACCCCCTAACCGTTTTGTGTACAGTGCGTCCAAAGCCGCCGTGATTGGACTGAGTAAAACAATAGCCAAGGATTTCATTCGTGACGGCATACGTTGTATCCCCGTCTGTCCTGGTAAGTTCGAGAGCACGGCAGGGAGTTTCACAAGCATTTTACAAATTGTTATGGAAATATAGATATTTTAACTTTTCATAAAGTAAAGGCACTCGTCAGAATTTTATTTTAATGCGACTTGTTAGCTAACCTCAAAAATGATAATTTGGCTAATTGCTTTGGCGACTTCTCCCTGTTACACTATGTGTTGGAAGGATAGCCCGAGTTTCCTCTGTCCCTGACACCAGACTTCTAGACATTTTGACAGATATATGTCTGGTGTCAGGGCCAGAGGAAACTCGGGCTAACGGAAGGACTGTCCATGCATTTGAGGACTCATTCAATTGGTAAAAACATGGAAACGGTTGAGATTCCAACCCTTTATACACAGGTACTTGCCTCGTCTGTCAATACACCTATGCTATAATCAAGGTTGCTAACTCCACAGCATACAGTGTCCGACCAACTGAAATTCGACCATTTTTCGATGTTTCATGAAGTCTACCGAAAATTACACTGCATGATATATGGCAAATCATACATCAAATTAAAAAAAAAATCCTGTCGATCTAGACTGCTTCCAGCGTCATACTATGAACGGTTATGACAAAAACCAATGTTTTCTAGAACTTGGTCAGTTAGCAACATTGATTATATTATAGGTGTATTGACAGACGAAGCTAGTACCTGTACTTTATCATATAAGTAATGCATAAACACAGGAATACACTCGTGCTACCTTCGTTACCCCTCGAGTCCTGTCGGCCGCTGGGGGATGATTCCCCATAACACGGAAACGGTTAATCATCACCCTTTAGAAATGACCCCTCGGTCTGGTACCCCCTTGACATTAAGATCATGGAAAATGGTTTAGAAACGGTTTAGATCCTACCCTAAAACCATATAGTCTTAACTTGGAAACGGTTCAGACTACCATCCTATAATTATATATGTGCCTGATGGGCATGACGAGACGAATATTATGATACCAGGATAAGGCCCCGGTTCTGAATCCATCCGTGTAAAAGAATATGGATGCTTGCCAGATACTGTAGAAGGTAAGTTTTCTGCACTGCTGTGATGCTATTGTTATGTGCTATTTACTTGTGTTATTGCGTTACAGGGACTGTGGAAACACCCTCCCTTGAAGGCCGGATACAGGCCCAACCGGACCCGGAACAGGTATGATGTAAATAGAGTAGTAATTGATATTCCTATATAAATGACAGTTTAGTCAAGTTCGATCATGTCCTTAGACATACATTTCCATGGCAACTGATTTATTTAATCTTGCACGTATCTATGGGGGTTCACATCCTCGATATCCAGGGGTTACGTTCACTTTCGATCTCTGCAGCCCTGGAATATGTCATTGCAAAAATGAAGGCATGCAGCTAGCAATTTGATTGGTGTCGGGTAAAAAAATCCTTACCAAGCACTAGGCGGATACATGTCCTTTGAAGAGTACAAAGAGCTACGCCCGACATCAAAGCATGTCGTTTTTTTACCGTTACGCGACCGCGAGATTCTTTTGATGTATATCAAAGGACCAAACTAGCCTTCTCGTCTCATCCACAAGATGCTGCACATTGAACTTTTAGTTTTGCTATGACATATTCCAGTGGTATAGAGAGCGAAAGTGAGCGTAACCCCTTGATATGAGGATGGGGGGTTCAATACATTTAAATGTCAGAAGTCCGTTCCCGGTGTTGTGTGTAACACATCGGAATTTAGATTCGGAAGTAAGGACACCTGCTGTATAGCCTTTAATTAAGCGAAGTCAAAACATTTGCGCTGTTGTTACTTGATCAACTTTGCGTTGTTTTAAAATGTTCACATCGCGGTTTTCATGTTATTCAAATTATATCAGCAGATTATGTCGAAACTTCGATACAAGCGATATTAGAGCCCAGGCGAAATATTTCCACTATCTAATTAGGGCCTGGCCTAGACACATATTTGTTGTCGACTTTGATGTCGAAGTTATGTAAATGGTACAGTTAGGCAATTTGTTCCCTATTTCAAAAACTTGGAAACCAACATTGAGTGTAATGAGCTGTAGACAGCTTTTCATATTTCATTTTGATTATGCGTAATATTTGTAATTTTTATGTTTGTTTTTATGCCAGTTGTGTGTTTATCTCTTTACCACCTGTTCATAAGTTGTGTTGCACGTTTATAACTACTTGCCAAATCATTATTTCTATTGTTCCACTTACATAGAGCACAGTGAGAACACCCCGTCAGATACTTACACTTGTAAGTACAGACGTGCCTCCCAAAACAGACACGCATACACTACACGCATACATCTTGCACACAGGGGAGGCCGTCCTTAAATTTTTTACACCAAACATTCTTTTCCTTATACATACTGAAAAGTTGAACGATCTGCATATATATAAATGTGGCATATTTTGTTTGCAAGGAAGATGTTAATGTATCTGTCTGTTCCCAGGCAAGGAAGGACTTCCTGGCTAGACAGCCCATGGGAAGAATGGCCACCGCCCAGGAGGTCGCCAATCTTGTCATCTTCTTGGCATCTAGTGACGTAAGTATTTTTGTTTTTCCCCCTACCGCCCACTTTGCTTGAGAGTTTCCAAGCAACCACGTGTCGGTATTTGTACTTTACAAGCCGTTCATATAATATATAGATACCATTCGTGAGATTGAGATATTATGTTGTGTGGTTTGTGAAATGAAATGTAGAATCGAGAACTCCTGTCCATGACTCTTGCTGGAGAGCAATGGTTATATGAGAGGAATACGATTTTGCAGCAGTCTGTATTACGGTTCTACATTTTAATTTGTATTAGAGCAAATTGTCTTTGTTCAGCAAATATTGCCTTTAATATGTTTCTAGCATATCACATAACTACCGTTGCTCCTATATAATGAGAAATGCCATCATGAGTAGAATTACTCTTTAGATTATTACATATTCGTTCTGTACAACACAATCCACTAATGGATAATAAGGACAACTCTAATGAGTCCATCTTTTGGCCTCACGGACCTGTCTTAAGCGATAACTATACTTTACAGTTTACTTTATTTCTGGCATATGATAGGTTTTAGTTTAAAAAACCCGAATTGTGAACAAAATTAACACAATGGTCGATTAAACTAAACAACGTTTTAACAAATGGAAGATTAACATGGAAACACTTGAAACAAATACAGGGATAATAAGGCAGGTTCCGCTTTATCGGAGACACCTGTCATGAAAATCCAGACAAAATCCAATGTCACGTCCTCTATGTGGTAACCGGATAATGACAATGATTTGGTTTGGTTTAGTATTGCTTAACGTCCTATTAACAGCTATGGTCATTTAAGGACGGCCTCCCCTGTTTGCAAGATGCATGCGTGTAGAGTATGCGTGTGTGTTTTGGGAGGCTGCGATATGTTCCTGCTTGTCTCGTTGTGATAGCGCGGAACCGGTGCCGACTTTATAATGCTACCTCACTGCAACATACTGCCGAAGACACCCAGCAGGACACCCCAACCTGTCACATTNACACTACACGCATACATCTTGCACACAGGGGAGGCCGTCCTTAAATTTTTTACACCAAACATTCTTTTCCTTATACATACTGAAAAGTTGAACGATCTGCATATATATAAATGTGGCATATTTTGTTTGCAAGGAAGATGTTAATGTATCTGTCTGTTCCCAGGCAAGGAAGGACTTCCTGGCTAGACAGCCCATGGGAAGAATGGCCACCGCCCAGGAGGTCGCCAATCTTGTCATCTTCTTGGCATCTAGTGACGTAAGTATTTTTGTTTTTCCCCCTACCGCCCACTTTGCTTGAGAGTTTCCAAGCAACCACGTGTCGGTATTTGTACTTTACAAGCCGTTCATATAATATATAGATACCATTCGTGAGATTGAGATATTATGTTGTGTGGTTTGTGAAATGAAATGTAGAATCGAGAACTCCTGTCCATGACTCTTGCTGGAGAGCAATGGTTATATGAGAGGAATACGATTTTGCAGCAGTCTGTATTACGGTTCTACATTTTAATTTGTATTAGAGCAAATTGTCTTTGTTCAGCAAATATTGCCTTTAATATGTTTCTAGCATATCACATAACTACCGTTGCTCCTATATAATGAGAAATGCCATCATGAGTAGAATTACTCTTTAGATTATTACATATTCGTTCTGTACAACACAATCCACTAATGGATAATAAGGACAACTCTAATGAGTCCATCTTTTGGCCTCACGGACCTGTCTTATGCGATAACTATACTTTACAGTTTACTTTATTTCTGGCATATGATAGGTTTTAGTTTAAAAAACCCGAATTGTGAACAAAATTAACACAATGGTCGATTAAACTAAACAACGTTTTAACAAATGGAAGATTAACATGGAAACACTTGAAACAAATACAGGGATAATAAGGCAGGTTCTGCTTTATCGGAGACACCTGTCATGAAAATCCAGACAAAATCCAATGTCACGTCCTCTATGTGGTAACCGGATAATGACAATGATTTGGTTTGGTTTAGTATTGCTTAACGTCCTATTAACATCTATAGTCATTTAAGGACGGCCTCCCCTGTTTGCAAGATGCATGCGTGTAGAGTATGCGTGTGTGTTTTGGGAGGCTGCGATATGTTCCTGCTTGTCTCGTTGTGATAGCGCGGAACCGGTGCCGACTTTATAATGCTACCTCACTGCAACATACTGCCGAAGACACCCAGCAGGACACCCCAACCTGTCACATTATACTGACAACGTGCGAACCAGGCGTCCCACTCCTAAATTGCTGATCGTCAAGCAGGAGTAGAAGCTACCATTTTTACAGACTCTGGTATGTCTCGGCCAGGGGAAAGAACCCAAAGCCTTCCTCACAGGAGCGAACGCTCAACTGAAGGCCAAAAGTGACGCATTGTCAAGGGAGACATTAGGAAGAAGAAAGTTGATAGAAAGTAGTCGCCTCTTGCGATCATGCGATGGGGGCAGCAGGTACAATTCTTACGCCCTACCTGCAGGGACTTAATGACAATGAATCCACACGAAACATTAATGACCATGATAAAAAAAACTACCTCAAGATAACAGCAGGAAATGGAATGTGAGATCATGAATACTACCATAAAACTTAGCCATAATTGTCATCAACCGGAATCTCTTATAAATATAACCTTGTATTGTAAGTCTGTCCGTCAGCATTCGAGACCTATCATCAAAGTCTCGGTATTCAGATTAACCCTTTAAAACTGCAACATGTAAACACGTACTTAAGGGGGAAACGGGATGCAAATATAAACAACAACGAATCTTCATCAGCAACTCGAAATGCTTGCGCTTATCGTTAAGTAAGTAAAGCCGTTCCCGTTGGTCATGCTGTTAGAATACAGATAGAAGTAAGCAGTTTATGTAGAAAAGGCTTGAGTGGCATTGATTTCAAGTTAAGGAGGGTATACACGATTGACGTGGTCAATACATTTGTTCAAAGACAAAATATCGCCGTTACATCTGAAGGTGCAATAACAGCTGTATTTGCTGTTATCTATCCTGAATAGCTCTTCAATAATTCCATTCACATATGAAAACAAATCCATACCATCCAGTACAGGGGCATGGTTTGTTCCCATCGGAATACTAACACTCTGCTGGAAAATCTTGCCACCAAACTCAACTAAAGTATATAAATCAGAAACCCAATTATTCATATAAAATGATAAATATGGTTTACAGCTATTTATTAATATTGTCATTCGCCATTCCGAAAACATATATATCTCATAACAGAAGAACGGAGACGTTTAGACAGGAAAAGCAAATGGGTTCGGAAAGAATGGACAAACTTGTTCTTAAAGTTCCTCATTGATTTATACCACTTCTGGAGTATAGAGTGTCACCATACGACTGTAACACTGATTTAATGGTATTAAGAAAGTAAGTAAGAAGTTTGGATAATGAATTAGTATAGCATCTAGCAGAGCCAGAAATGTAACGTCGTTTTCAAGCCAGCCTAGTTCTTCGTGCGAGCAGGAAATATATATAACAGTATTTGCAGATAAATCTTTTTGAAGACTTCTCTGTCACAACTATGTCCTTATCACACTGTTCATCAAGTGTAGTTTGAACATAGGGGAAAAGAAATACAGACTTGTTTGGTTTTTATTTCAACCTTTTAAGTTGGGTTTTTGATGACGTACCTGATATAGTTTACCCTCTCTAATCAGATCCAGCCCTGTGTCCCCCAACGACGTGGAATAAGTCAAGTCAGTGTCTGAAATCCACATTCGGCATTGGACAGTAGGGCCGTTTTCGTTTAAACGGTCAAACCGGTCGGATCACTGTTGTTTGTTTATTAAATAAGGTCGAACCTAGTAATCTGATGCTGCTCTCAGGTGAGCCTTGAAAAAGCCTTGCAAGGCCTGCATATACCCGAAATTGTTACATTTATAAACGGTCAAACCGTTTGTTCCGCATAAACGAACAGGTCCTAGGATTTAAAGGGGTTGAAAAATTATGCTACATTTAGTTCCATCGCCGTTGGTGTGGGTGGGTGGGTGGGGGTCTATAAGTTTATTACGGAGAGCTATTTCATCCTAATTTGGATGATATGGGGAAAATCTCAATCCTCGGAGTAAGATTTATAAATTGTCAATGTGAGGTTTTGTGTATTTTCAGGCTTCCTATATCACGGGCAAGGAGTATATCGTTGATGGAGGCTGGACCTTATAAAGTGTCGAAGAGCAAAATAGCAATTGCATGCGGTGGCTTATTGCAACATGAAAATGCAGTCATGAAAATTGAATTTTACTAGCATCGGTATCAAATTTTATTTATCCAAGATGTATGCGTTTTGATAATTGGTGATAAGAAACACCAACAACTTATTGTTATAATATATACGGATACTATGATATGGTACTCCTATACAGCATTGTTTAAGAACAGCTTACCACAGAAGCCTGAAAGTTATATAAATGTGTATATACTAGGTGTAGAAAAAAATAACTATTATTGAAAAATATATATTTTATGATCGTCGGAAATCCATTTAAGGCCAATGCGTTTCGTACTCAAAACAGCAAATATTCCTGTTAAAATTTAATTTGGACACTAATGTATTCAAAAATAACGGTCTGTGCTCAACCTTCATTGTTTTTCATATGTGCACAGAGCATGTGATGTACATCTATATTTATAGTATTATATCCTTAGGCTCTTATGGATGTGACGTACTAGTCACTGTACCTTTGTATCTCAATATAAGTAAGTATAGAGATTGTGTACTTACTGAAATAAAACTTGTTTCTACGATTGTATCCTAAGTTAACTATTATTCTTCAATTAGTCCCCTAAACGAAATTTGGGACTTCTTGTTTTTGCTCCGATTCCTGTTTCTGTCCTTTCTCTTTTCTTTTCTTCCTCTTTGTTCTTTCACTTTTTTCACACCTTTAAAATTTGATTCAGCACTTGGTTTTGTCGACCGTTTGTGTTGGCCCTAATGACCTATCCTGTGTTGATTGGCCGTTAAGCATTGATAATAATTATAATAATAATCGCCGCCGGCGGCTTTCCGCCACTTTCTCGAAACCTGTCCGGAAGAAGTTAATGAAACCTTACACGATGGTCGAGAGTGGAAAGGAGGGTTCAAGTGACTTTTCTTTTCTTCATTAAGTCATCCAACATTATTGCCGCGGCGGAAATTCAGATACTGACCGATTTTGTTGAAATTTGTAATAGGTGTTAGAAATTGAAGTGAATTTTAAACTGAACCTGATTTGAAGTTATGCATCGCAATAATACATGTTTACTGTAAGGCAACATCAAGTGAAACGTTTTAAACTATCATATCAAGACAAGTAATGCGGTTTTACATCGTATCATGGCAAGCCCTAACAACCTGTCATTTCGACTCAACCGGTCTATTTGATCTGCTTATCTCCTTACTTAGTTTTGTTTACGATTCTACTACGGTGGTGAGACATGCAGAACCATAGAATGTTATCATTATATCGTACCAGGTAGTGAGTCCACATCCTTCCACGCATAGTAGTAGTGAAATAAAAGAATGTTATTATTGCATTGTAACAGGCAGTGAGACTATAAGACTCTTTCATGCCCAGGAGTGTAGGATAGGGAAATTCCACCCGAGGGGTTTTGCCAAATTTGAAAATCCCGAAGGTGGAATTTCTCTATCCTTCACCCTTGGGCATAAAAAAGTATTTTTCTCTTATTCCAACTACCAGAATAAGCTCAGGAACCATGAAAATGCGTTTGGACTGGCTACCATTTTGAAAAAATCAATCCCCCCCCCCCCCCCCCCCCCCCCCCCCGAGCTTTTTTGACGAAAACGAATTCGTCAGCGAGATGCAGCAAACCCCATATTTGCAAACACAGTTTGCGCAGACAAAAATAATCTCATCCTTCTGACGTTTATGGTAAATATATCTTATAAGGGTTTAATTTCATCACGTTGCCTATTCCCTATTGCGGCATCGGTGTTTTCCGAATTCGTTACGTCAGGTCATCGTTGAGCCATGGTGACGTCACGCACATGTAATACATGGCCAGCGTTATCTTACATGACCGGATATGAGAGAGAAAAAAGAAGTCAGTTACAACTCTTGACACATCGTTCTGCGTAGTGAGGCATGTAGAATCAAAGGATGCTATTATTATTATTAGTTATTTATTGTTAAATATTAGAAACAAGAGATCCCAGAGGGATCTTGGCGCCCACCATTGTACCATCTTCATTAGTTCTTTGTCAGTTCGATATTTTCTCTTCTTTCCTCTAATCTGTTTGATCGAGTCATGTTAACAGTAAATGCACCTTGAGGTTACTTTTGATCTAAAATCAATACTGATGTGTATGAAAGCCAACCTTCAAAGTGAGTTTGTCATTTTACATATTTACTAGTAGAGTACTCAATGTGAAAGAAATAGAAAGCGATATCTTACATGACCGGATATGACAGAGAAAAAAAGTCCGTTAAAACTCTTGACACATCGTACTACGTGGTGAGACATGTAGAATCAAAGGATGCTATTATTGAATTGTTACAGGAGGTAAGACATGAGAAGTCAGTTAAAACTCTTGACACATCGTACTACGTGGTGAGACAAGTAGAATCAATGGATGCTATTATTGCATTGTTACAGGAGGTGAGACATGAGTAAGTTAAAACTCTTCACACATCGTACTACGTAGTGAGACAAGTAGAATCAATGGATGCTATTATTGCGTTGTTACAGGAGGTGAGACATGAGTAAGTTAAAACTCTTGAAACATCGTACTATGTAGTGAGACATGTAGAATCAAAGGATGCTATTATTGAATTGTTACAGGAGGTGAGACATGAGAAGTAAGTTAAAACTCTTGACACATCGTACTACGTAGTGAGACATGTAGAATCAAAGGATGCTATTATTGCATTGTTACAGGAGGTGAGACATAAGTCAGTTAAAACTCTTGACACATCGTTCCACGTAGTGAGACATGTAGAATCAAAAGATGCTATTATTGCATTGTTACAGGAGGTGAGACATGAGTAAGTTAAAACTCTTGACACATCGTACTACGTAGTGAGACAAGTCGAATCAAAGGATGCTATGATTGGATTTTATCATGAGGTGATACATAAGAAGTCAGTTAAAACTTTTGACACATCGTACCACGTAGTGAGACATGTAGAATCAAAGGAAGCTATTATTGCATTTTTACAGGAGGTCAGACATAAGTAAGTTAAAACTCTTGACACATCGTTCCACGTAGTGAGACATGTAGAATCAAAAGATGTTATTATTGAATTGTTACAGGAGGTGAGACATAAGTAAGTTAAAACTCTTGACACATCGTTCCACGTAGTGAGACATGTAGAATCAAAAGATGCTATTATTGCATTGTTACAGGAGGTGAGACATAAGTCAGTTAAAACTCTTGACACATCGTTCTACGTAGTGAGACATGTAGAATCAAAGGATGCCATTATTGCATTGTTACAGGAGGTGAGACATGAGTAAGTTAAAACTCTTGACACATCGTACTACGTCGTGAGACAAGTCGAATCAAAGGATGCTATGATTGCATTTTATCATGAGGTGATACATAAGAAGTCAGTTAAAACTTTTGACACATCGTACCACGTAGTGAGACATGTAGAATCAAAGGAAGCTATTATTGCATTGTTACAGGAGGTGAGACATGAGTAAGTTAAAACTCTTGACACATCGTACTACGTAGTGAGACATGTAGAATCAAAGGATGCTATTATTGCGTTGTTTCAGGAGGTGAGACATGAGTAAGTTAAAACTCTTGACACATCGTACTACGTAGTGAGACAAGTAGAATCAAAGGCTGCTATTATTGAATTGTTACAGGAGGTGAGACATGAGAAGTCATTTAAAACTCTTTGACACATCGTACTACGTTGTTAGACATGTAGAATCAAAAGATGCTATTATTAAATTGTTACAGGAGGTCAGACATAAGTAAGTTAAAACTCTTGACACATGGTTCCACGTAGTGAGACATGTAGAATCAAAGGATGCTATTATTGCATTGTTACAGGAGGTGAGACATAAGTAAGTTAAAACTCTTGACACATCGTACTACGTAGTGAGACAAGTAGAATCAAAGGCTGCTATTATTGAATTGTTACAGGAGGTGAGACATGAGAAGTCATTTAAAACTCTTTGACACATCGTACTACGTTGTTAGACATGTAGAATCAAAAGATGCTATTATTGAATTGTTACAGGAGGTGAGACATGAGAAGTCATTTAAAACTCTTTGACACATCGTACTACGTTGTTAGACATGTAGAATCAAAAGATGCTATTATTAAATTGTTACAGGAGGTCAGACATAAGTAAGTTAAAACTCTTGACACATGGTTCCACGTAGTGAGACATGTAGAATCAAAGGATGCTATTATTGCATTGTTACAGGAGGTGAGACATAAGTAAGTTAAAACTCTTGACACATCGTTCCACGTAGTGAGACATGTAGAATCAAAGGATGCTATTATTGCGTTGTTTCAGGAGGTGAGACATGAGTAAGTTAAAACTCTTGACACAGCGTACTACGTCGTGAGACAAGTCGAATCAAAGGATGCTATGATTGCATTTTATCATGAGGGGATACATAAGAAGTCAGTTAAAACTTTTGACACATCGTACCACGTAGAGCATATAAGAGAAAACTCACATGTAATCTTACCATTGAGAGATGCCCATGCATCATCAACTAAAACGGTATTGAAAAGGCCCCCTTGACCTGTATTGCTTGCATCATTTCCTGCATCTCATTAGAAGAGAAGAATTGTGTTATCTGGATTCATCGATTACCTAAGCGACCTAAACAGCAGCTAAAAACAACCAAAGCGTAGGATCCTACTACGGTCATGATATCGACGCATGGTTTTGACATTAGACGAATTATCTATACCAATACACGCCGTCGTTACTGAGCTGATGTCGGCTTATTCAGAGGCTTCTTGGATTTCGAATCGACGCTCAACTTATTACACTTCAGAATCATAAGAGATTCGTTCTCAGCCAGTTTGGTCAAAATCTCAAAAGGCGGTAAGAGAAAACTTTTGTAATTCGCAGAACAAATGGACAAATGTGCAAGCTTTACGTTGATTGCAGGTGAGCAAAACGTGTTTTGTGAAAATTGAAATCAGTCCCAATATCATCTTTGGATTTTCATTTGAAAACAAGAGTACCGCGGGGCGGAACAATATACGCCCGTCGAATGCCATAAAGTGTCATATACTTTCTTGCATTGAAATAAGATCTGTATCATTCTAAAAGTGGCTAGCTGACATGCTATAAAAAAATGTAGGAGAAAATCTCCGGATAAAATATTCAAATACTGAAATGAACAAAGGACAATGACTTTTGCAAAAATCGTCGAATCAAAATTCTGTTTAGAGAAACACCACTTCATATGATGATAATGTAAAGTTTCAAAGAGATCTGTTGAAAAATGTAGGAGGAGATTGCCGGACAAACAAAAGTTTACGCCGGACGGAGGGACAAACCCATACCATAATACTCTCGTCAAATTTGACGGGCGTATACAAAGTATAATCAAGGCTTATATTAGGATAATGTAATGGTTTCAAGATCATGCATTCATCGATCATCTACATATCTTAAATGCATCATACGACTTAACGAATGCGTCAAATTGCTGATAAATGAAAAAAGAAAATAAATAGCAAGTTGGGAAACAATATTCGTATGTAATTACAACCTTTTGCATAACACAGGTAGCACAAAATAAACATAAAACAACAACACTTGCT